TACACCTTCAGTGAAGTCTCTCCTCTCTCCCCAGCCCCACTTTCCCTACTTCCTTCACTGGCTCACAGCCAGACCAGGCATGGGCTGTGCTTGAATGGGGTGGGGGGAGGCTGTCCTGCAGCACTGTTCCCATCCCTGATGGGGTGGGCTGGAAGAGAAGATGAAAGCCCAGCCCCTTCCACAGTAATTATTAGGAGGAAGGACCAGATTGGAGCTGATGCTGGGAGTCCCAAGACTGGGGAACAGCTGCTTCTCCATAGGACCACCATGGCACCACTGAACTCTCCTTCCCCTAGTTCCATGGCTGGACAGAGCCCCGGGACCACTTTTGTCATAGCCTTCCCTCCTCAGTCAGTAAATTAGTAAACATTTATTAAGTGCCTATGATGTGCTAGGCACTGTGCAAAGTGCTGGGGCTACAAATAAGAAAAGGAAAGACAATTCGTGCCCTCAAGGAGCTTATAATCTAATGGGGAAGACCACACAGAAAAGGAAGGGTCTGGCCCAGGGGCATGAGGTTCCAGTGTCTACCCAAGTGAAGCAGCTGATGATAAATAAAGTCAGTGTGAAAGCCAGGGCTCTCTCCAAAGGGGCATCTTGGGGGGAGCTCATTGCTCTGCCTTCCAGCTCCGTAATCAAGGAGAGAGGAGAATGTACCATGCAGCGCGGTGTAAGATGCTGGTCCTGGCTTAATTCCTGCCAGACTGCCTTTCCAGTAGTTTTTCAGTAATTCTTCCCAAACAGGGAGTTCCTTCTTGTGTAATTTATGCTTTCGGGTTTATCAAACACTGGGTTGCTGAGGTCAACGATTTCTAACTTTCCCTTGTCTGTTCCACTGATCTACTTTTCCGTTTCTGAATCGGCACCAAATGATTCTAACGACTGCTGCTTTACAATGTGGTGTGAGGTCCAAAAGCATGTCTCCTCCTTCATTCCTGCCTTTTTTCATCATTTCCCTTGGTATTCTAGATCTTTTGTTCCTCCAAATGAATTCCATTCCTATTTTAGTTAGGAGCTCACGTTCTAATGGAAGAGACACCACGTACGGAAACGGTACATACCAGCTACACAGAGATGGATGAATGGTAGAACTGGGGGTGAAGGCACTCCTGGGCAGCTGGGGGGTAGGGAGGGGCTCCGGGAGGGCCTTGGGCTGAGTCTCTGAAGGAGGGAGGGAGAACACTGCATGCCTGGGCACAGTCAGTTCAAAGGCAGAGGGAGGGGACGGACTGCCGTGTGTGAGGGACGGCAAGCAGGCCAGCATGGCCGGACTGTGGAGGAATAGAAGGAATAAGGGTCATGTGAAAGAGGGATTTAGGTGGTTTTGTGTGGTTACAAAGGCAGAACTGGAAGTGGGGAGGAAGCTGCAGAGAGGCAGGTTCAGGCTTGAGGCAAGGAAGAATTTCCCAAAATCCGTCTCCCAAAGTGGAATGTGCCACTTGGGGAGCGGGGGCGTCTCCCTCATTGGCCACCATGAAGCAAAGGCTCAATGGTGCTTGTCAGGAGGCTGGGAAGGATTCTTTTTCAGGTCTGGTGTGGACTGGATGCCCACTGAAGGCCCTCCCAACTCTCACTCTTTGTCAGCCCCACACAGATGGCCCCAGCCTTGTGTGACCAGCACCTCCAAAGGGTCCTGTTCTTTGGGACTCTCCCGTCCTTCAGTCTCTTTCTCTGCCCCAGATGCCTCACACCAACCCTTTGTCCTCCCCGTGACTTCGAGGCCCTCCATCCCTCCCTGTTCTGGCCTCCCTTCCCTTCTGATCCTTGAGTTGACCATTTACTCTTTATTCCCTTGCCCCTCAAACTTACCTCCAGTCCTACCTTTCCAAACCCAAACCCTGGGATATCCCCACCAGCTCCTGCTCACGTGCTACTGAACCTTACTGGAGCGTCCCAAATTTCAAATGGGCCCTGATCTGGTCAATCCTTTCTCTTTCCCCTGGCTGACCCTCTCAGGCATTCTGAGCCTCCCTCAGGCCTCCTACTCACAGGAGCTCTCTCCTCCTTTGGCTGAGAAAACAGGTGGGCTGCTGTGAGCTCCCTCTTCTCCTCCATCCTGTCCTCTCCTCCTCTGTTCCACCTCTGACAAAGGCCCGCAGGGGCTCTTGAGTCCTTCTCCTCCTACAGCAGCCTGGCTTACCCACCCTGCCTTTCTTTTATCTTCAATCTCTTCTCATTCACAAACTCTTTCCTTACTGCCCACAGTACATGCCCAGCCCAGAGCTTCACTTGTTGATCCTGCTTTTTCCTGGAGGCGCTGCTACTGGACCTCTCTTGTCTCACAGGCTTGCAAATTCAAAAAAGCTAAAAATAAATTCTTAATCCCCCCTCCATCCCCCACTTCAACATCTCAAGCTTGGAATCCTTACTGACCTCTCTCTCATTCTCCATCCCTCCCTTTCTCCTCTCCCTCTCACTCCCTCTGTCTCTCCCTCTCTTTCTCCTCCCCCCACGTCCCATCAATCGCTGAGTCTTACTGACTCAACTTCTGCCACAAGCCTCCATCCATCCTCTCCTCTCCTCTCCACTGACACAATCTCTACCCTAGTTCAGATCTGTATCACGTCTAGGTCTGAGTGACTGCAATAGCTTCCTAAGGGGCTTTTCTGCCCCTCACCTATCCCTCTCCAATCCACCCTTCCCTGGCCAAGCTTATGTCATCTTCCTCTCTCCCTTCCAGTTCATGTGGCCGGCCACTAGTGCCCCATCATGACATCCCATATCTAGAAGGTGCCCCCTCCTCCCTCACGAACCCCGAAGCACAGCTCAGACACTGGCTCCCAGGTATCAGGACCTTTCTCTTTTGAGAAATGACTTTGCATAAGCTTCGGTTTTACTTCCTCGTGCACATACTGTATTTCACCCCCCCCTGGCCTCCCCCAGGAGAACATAAGCCCCTTGAGGGCAGGCCATATTTTGCTTTTTTCTTTCCCCCAGCACCTAGGCACAGTGCCTCAAATGCAAATGTGTAGCAGGCACATGTCATGGTGAATTACGAAACTGTGAGTTAGAAAAGGCACAGAAAGGTAGGAGAAGAACTGAGAAAGAGGCATTTTTGATAGGACTCAGGCAATTCACAAAATTGCTATCACTCGACCCAAAATTTAACAGAAGAGACAAAACAGATGAATGGGGACGGGAGAGACAGGATGATTCTGAAATCCAAGGAACATTGGCTATTTGTCTTACAGTTTGAAAAAGAGAGTGAGGGCTGGAGAGGCTGGAGCCGAGGGGCATAGGAACAGTCTCAGCCCCCGCCACCACTGTCACTGCCCAGAGACCGCTGAGCCTCCCCTGCATCCACCAGCCGCCACTCACTCTGGGCGCAGAACGTTCAGTCGTGGATGAAAATGAGCTGGTGCAGAAGGCTCTCAGCGGGCTCAGAGACATGCTGCCATGGAGTCTGTCACTGAGCAAGGAGCTGAATTATCTCATGAGGAGAGGAATCTTCTCTCTGTTGCTTACAAAAATGCCACAGGGGCCCGAAGGTCATCTTGGAGGGTTGTTTCAGGTATTGAGCAAAAGACGGAAGATGCTGAGAAAAAACAGCAGACAGCTTGAGAACACAGAGAAAACTGAGCCTGAACCGGGAGGTGTCTGCAATGAGGACCTGTCTCTGTTGGAAAAGCTCTTGATTCCTAACACTTCACCAGCAGAAAACAAAGCTTTCTGTCGGAACAGGAGAGGAGATGACCACCATTCTTTGGCTGACCTTGCTGCCGGTGACGACAAGAAAGGACGGGTGGATCCATCACCACAAGTGTTCCAAGAAGCGCTTGGAATCAGCAGAGGGAGATGCAACCGCCGCACCCAATGAGACCGGGTATGGCCGTGAACTTGTCTGCGTCTTGTCCTGAGATCACGAACTCTCCAGAGAAAGCCCGCTCCCCTGCAGAGGCAGCTTCAGATGCCGCCGCTGCTGAACGCGATCCATTAATGAAGAATCATACAAAGGCGGCACGCTAAGAACGCGATTACCGAGAGACAAGCTGGCATTGTGGACGTTGGACAGCGAGGGGCTGGCGCTGAAGCAGGAGGAGGAGGGGGGCAGAGTCAGCCAGCCTTGTAGCTTTTGTCTGCCTCATTCTAAAGTGACCCTTTGTCATCCAGGCTGCCCCCAAATAGCTTCTGTTTATGATTTATGACAGGTTTATGTTTCTTCGGTTTAGGTTTCTGCATTTCCCACGTGGCTTTTATTTTCAGATTAGCAGAGTGGGGCCAGTTAGTATCTGGGGAGTTACCTGTTTTCATCTGAGCTGGCCAATATGGGGATATGGAGTTTTTCTACATGTTCGTTACTTTTGGTCCACTGTAACTTCACAAGGCCGGTGTTAAAACAGCTTCCGTGTCTAAGCAAAGAAAGCTGCCTCCACACTGGCCTGTCGTGGTCAGGGGACAACAGGATGATTGGTTTTAGCCACAGGTAAGGTAATTGTGGGTAATCGAGGGCTGAAGCCCTCAAGGGTCTGGCAGATAGAGATGTCCCACAGATATTATGTCATTCCATGTGTATCGGTGGAATACACAGTCTCGATGTGTGCACCTTTATGAGTACAGTCACAAAAATGTTCCTTCAGACAAAGTTTGAACCCAATTTACTTGGGGGAAGGGCAGAAATGGTTCACATTGCATCATTTGTAAAGCTGCCCACTGTTCGCTTTCGTTATTTCTGCTACACCCATTTTGTCTGTATTTAAGTGGTCCAGGCAACTTCAGAACAAACCTACAAGTAAAGCTGTTGTGAAAACGAATGAAGTCACTGTACATCAAGCACAGCAGGGAAACAGAGCCAACGCGGTTAACTTTTTAAAGGGATACCGGCCTAACATGCATGTGCTGCAAAAACAGTTACTGGGGGAAAAACCTGAGATGGTGGCTAGCTTTGCTTAATGTCTTATGGAATTTCCATGAACAAGCCAAGCACAATTGTTAAGAACAGGGGCGTTAAGTTGATGGAAGGGGAATAAAAGTTTAGGAATGGAAAAAGAGAGTGAGCCTACCTTTTTGGCAGCAGAATCTCCTCGGGGTGAAGAGCAGGAAGGAGACGTTTTCACCTGTAAAAACCAAGGACGTTTTTGTAACGCTTCAGTTTTCTATGACTAAAACTCAAGGAATCTGGGGAGAACAAGGGTCATTGAGACAATACAGACCTTTCCCCTAAAGCAATTTATATATATTGTATTAAACATGAATGGCCCAAGATCCACAGGATGCCCTGTGGAGCTTGAGAGATCAGAGACACCAGAGCAGGAGGAAACCCAGGAATATTAGACTCAGAAAGGTGTTGGTGAAGGGGCTGGGGGCTAAACGGGCCTGGCTGACGGTGTGGACAGTGGTCTCTATGTGTGGTGGCTTTACTGATGACTTCTGTTTTCACAATCACAGTGCCTTTCCTAGGCATCCCACCCCACCCAAGGGCTGTCTCTTATAACAAAGACAAACAGTTCAGCAAAACCAGTATTCCCAAGTTACACATGCGAGGGCGTACAGAACGTACTGTGCCTTTGGCCCCGACCTGTCCAGAGGAAGGAAGGGGGCATGTTTCTTCACCTCTTCTCCTGGACTAGCACTGGGTACTACCGTTCTTAGCATGACCTTTTAATGGACAGCCAGCAACTCTGGGAGACACTCACCAGTTTTTCAGAGACCACCACACTGAAAGGGACGACTAACGTCATAAAGGACAAAACAGGAACCCTGCTGCCGCTCTCCATTCCACACCATCTTCCAGGTCACCTCCTAAATGGTCTCCTCGCCTCTAGCCAGCCCCTCTCTGATCTGCCCGTGTCATTCCCCCTCCTTCCCCAAACCTACGTTCAAAGATCTTCCGTAGCTCCCCATTGTCCAAAAGATAAAGTCAAACTTCTCAGTGGGGAGAATGCTGGCCAAAGTTTAAATCCTGCCTCAGGGTTTTCAGCCTCAGTTTCCTCATCTGTAAAATGGGCACAAGAATAGTGCCTGCCTCACAGAGCCGTGGTGAGGACCACGTGAGACACTGGAGGAGCGGCTCTTAGTAAATCAAAGCTCTATGTAACAGCTGCTATCGTAATCAACCCAATCCAATAAATGCGAGCCTGCACCATGCTAAGCGCTAGGGGAGTCTCAAATATTCTAAGTCCCTTTCAGTCTTATTTCCTGACTCTGTCGCAGCCAGATGGGCCTCTGTGCAAGCCGTCCGTGATGCCTGGCACGGCTGCTCTGGCCCCCTCTCTCTCGAACCACATGCCCCAGATCTGCTAGCCCCCCACCGACGAGACACCTCCAGGAGGACGGGAGCTCCTGGTCAGCGGGGCCTGACTCAGTTGTCTTAGCAGCTCCAGGGCCTGGTGGGGGGCAGGAGCCTCACACATGTTTGCTGAAATCAGTATTAAAAATGACCTTGCCGAGCCCAGATTAAAAACACAGAAATTTCACAGGGGTAAAGATAAACATCTGGCATTTAAATTAAAAAGATAAATCTCACAAATCCAGGATGGGAGATGGGAAGGGAAATGGTCTGGCAACAGTTCGGTGACCTAGGTCTTTGCAGGAGGCCACACTCTTCAGCGGCAGAAACAGCGAGGCAGGGCTCTGATCCCAGGGAACTCCCCCTCCAGCCTGCCACATCCTCAGCAGTGCCCCTCACCCATGGCTGCTAAGCTCTGAGAGGAAGAGTCAGGCAAACCCCACAACACCTTGCTTTCTGGCTACTGCTCCCCTACAGGAGAGGGCCTGTTTCTGGCTACTGCCCAGTAGAAGGGAGCTTCTTTATCCCGGCACAGAGGCTGGCCCACGGGCAGCACTGCGCCGTGTGATCCCATCCACATATGTCTCCACTGGCTTTTGTTGATCACAATCCCGATCCTTCGGACACAGGGGTGTTCCCGGGTATGTCGCCATGCAGCCCTGCGGGGAGAAGGCTGTTTCATAAACGGGGCTGCGTGTGAAGGAGTGGCTGGGGATCGCCTGCCCTCTGGTCCAGGTCTCCTCTTACTCCAGAGTGAGCTCAGGGAGCTGGGATCGTTGCTCACATGCAGACCCAGGGCCACGCCCCCGGCCTGAGGTGGGAGGGCAGCGGCCGCCGCATCAATCTTCCTCCTCTGTTCAGTGCAGACTCTTCCTGGGCCTGGTTCTTCTTGTGTCGTGCGCTTGCACAATCTCTCCTGAGCAGCCTTCACGTCTTCTAGTGGGAAGCCCTCACTAGGCCTTCCACCCAGGACATCCTGACAAAGCAGCAAATGCGTTGGGAAGCGCCGGTCTCAGTTTTAGGCCTCACTGGCTGCTGGGTGACAGCAGATCCCCAAACAAAATTATCTAGGTGACCGCATCAAACAAGAACTTGTATGATCTCGACAGTCATACACCACAGCTTGCTCAGCATTCCCCAGTAGATGGGCATCCCCTCAATTTCCATTCTTGACCATCACAGAAAGAGCTGCTATGAATATTTGTACATGTGGGTCCTTTTCCCGTTGTATGATCTCTTTGGGGTACAGCCCTAGAAGGGCTATCGCTGGGTCAAAGGGCATGCACATTTTTACAGCCCTTTGGGCATAGCTCCAAATGGCTCTCCAGAACGGCTGCATCATTTCACAACTCCACCAACAATGCGTTAATGTTCCAACTTTCCCATATCTTCCACAACATTTATCACTGTCCTGTTTTGTCATGTCAGCCAATCTGATAGGTATGAGGTAGTACCTCAGAGTTGTTTTGAAGAAATGCTCTATATTTTACACACAAGAGCAAATGACTTGCCCAAGGTTCCACAGACGGAGTTGGGACTGGAAGCCAGGGGATGCCTTCAGCCCTCATCCCCCAACCCAGGCTCTTGGCTGTCCTCTTACATGTTCTGGTTAAAATGCCGCCCATTGCTCAAATCCAGCATATTCAGTTAAATTACTCTACTTAATTCTGTGGAATTTTAAGAATAATGATCATTGTTTATTTTTCCGAATGCCATCTGGAAGCCAGGACTCAAACCGCCGTCTGCCCAGACTGTCGCTGAGGGCCAAGGGTCTCCAGATGGTCGAGGAGCTCACTGGGAGAGCTCCACGTCTCCTCACAGACTCCCACTCAAATCGACAGCTCAGTTTAAAGCACAATGAATACGAAATCTGCAGACCTCTAACGCCAATGAGCCCAGAGATGGACGTGAGCCTGGACGATGAAGGTCCCAGGTAACTGCAGAGAGAGCTCACGGTCTGGAGACTCATGCACTCAGGCGACCCTCAGCAAAGCCTGACTTTCCCTTACTGGGATTCCTCTAGGAAACGTCTCGGGATAATCATAACAAAAATGACAGCTGTAAGCTTCATAGCACTTATTCTGTGCCGCGGCTGAGCTAATCGCTTTACGACTGCTGTCCCAACTGATCCTCAGAATAACTCTCTGTTCATTATTTCCCATTTATATTGGACATAACTTAGTTTCACATAGACTTGCATGTTGCCTCCCCCTTAGACTGTAAGCTCCTTGGGGGAGGGGCTGTCTTGTGCCTGGCACACAGGAAGGCCTCCCTGGCCCTCGCCCCATGCCTGGGAACCCGGATCCTTCTTTTGCCCGTACGTCTCCCTGGACAAATCCTTTCTGCTGCTGCTTCTGCAGGGCTTGTGGCTGGTAACATGTCTCAGCTTGATTACTATGCCTACCATGGGCTTTTCAATGGCCCTTCGGATGGTATTCCATTTTAATTTCTCAGAGACTGTGAGATTCATACAAAATCATCAAAAGAGGAGCAGAGTTAAGAAGAGGGGCCTTTGTTGTAGGGAGAAGCTCGGGGTCATTCAAAACACATTAATTCCATCCACCAAAATCTATCTTTTCTCCCTCTTCCCCACCGAAGGAGAAAAAAGAAAAGCAAACCCGTGCCATCAAATAGGCCCAGGCCAGCAAATCGACACACTGGCCGGGACCAGAAATCCTGCAACCACCTGGCCCGAGCCCATCCCACTTTGAGTGTGAGGTGGTGGTACTGGTCAGCAGAGGTCTTCAGGAGGCGGGGCTGAGCACTGTGTGATCGGTAAGGCTCAGGTCACTTACAAAGTCACAGGATCCTGGAGCAAGAGACGGAAGGGACTTTAAGGCGCCACGTCCAGCCCCCTCCTCCTACAGCTGAAGGAAACAAGGAGGCTGGGGTGGGGGGGGGAACCTGTGACTTGCCCCACAAGGTAGTGAGCACCAGGAGGGGGATCCGAATCCAGATCGCAGGGTCCTTTCACTGAGCTGGGCTGCTGGCATCCAGTCTGCTCTGCTCTTCAGTTCTGGGCCCAGCCTGCTGCCCCTCGCTGTCTGAGTGGAGACACCGATAAAGAATCATAGAGCACTGAGGAGAAAACCAGCATCCAGCCTGGCCTCTCACTTCACAGATGAGGAAACCGAGGCGAGGACTGGCCCACGTTCACCCGGCTGGCGGTCAAAGGCAAGTCTCTGTTTGAAGTGAGATTGGAGCCTGTAACTTACTGAAGAATTCCCTAAAGAAGCCTCCTGGCACTTCCTTCACGCTCAGGGTGAAAGGATGGCACGCCTCCAACCCATTTCCCAAAGAGTTCAAGCAGCCGCCATTCCCCTTGACCCTAGAGCAGAGCACGGGACAGATCCTGTGGTCTCCAGGCAGGTGGGCTGCCTGGGCTTCCTGTCCTCCATCTGTCCACTTCTTCATTCCCAGCCCATCTGTACCAGGTGCCTCCAAGTTGCATGATGCTGGCCTTGGGCAGGGACGAGGCATTCTCAAGGCATTTTTCCTCACATCAATAAGAAACCATCACCTCTGTGCTCTTCTGAATCTGAGGACAGATCCAGTGGAAAGTGCATTCATCTTTCACTGCTCTGTATTTGAAAAAGAAATATTGCTGCTCCCAGGCCCTGAAACCTCACTTCCCAGCTTATGTATTTGTAATGGGGAGTATCTATTTTTAAAGCAGAAAGATCCCCCCAAACAGGCACTGCACCAGTATTCCTACTTGGCAACATAAATATAAAATAAAATCACAAATTAGCCAGAACAGGAAATAAAAAACCAACAACAAGCAACGTACGATGGATCATTAACAGAAAATGATGACTGGCGATTATAAATAAAATATCACCTGCTGAATAAATAATGACTACGAGCAGCTAAATCATTCCCAATGAATAAGATGTTCAAAATATATCCACCAAGAAAAATGAGAATTCTTTTCAACTGGAACACCTTGGACCAAAATGGGAAACCAAATCAACCTTTCCTACCAGGGGAAAACCCCTCCCTTCCTTTGTCTCCTGCTCATTCCTCTCCTGTGGCCCCTTGGTGGGGGCGGGGCCGGCCCACCAGGGCTGAGGCTGGCGAGCTCTCTTTTGATTGGAGTGGATATGCTGGCTGCTGAGAAGCTGATGGTTTCATGCAATCACTTAGTGCCAAGAGGGGCCTCTGAGTCACCGGGGCAGCTCCCTCACCACAAGAGGCTCAGTTACTCTGTTTGCCAAAGTGCAGGGTCTGCGTGCGAGGACGCCGGAACCACTGCATGCTTCTGCGGGTGTGTATCATCAGCTGGTTACTTATTTTTTCATACAGAGAACTGATGCCTCCTTAAAGTCCATGCCAGCGAGGCTGGTGATTTGCTACTCTTTGTAAAACGGGGGTCACCCTTCACTGGGGGAGGAGAGAGCATCCAGTGGACTTGCATGTATAACAAGCTCTCTGAAGAATTCTACAAACGTCAGCTCCTGCTGTTACGAGGAATGATACACACGGCAGGAGCTCGAAGGCCAGCCTGGCATTTGGTGTCTGGTACGGTCCCAGCTCTATCACTTCCTTGTGCTGTGACCTTGGGCAGGTCACTTCCCTGGGGGGTGGGAGGGGTTGGATCAATAAGCCATGGCTCGGCTGACCAGATGACCTGGAAGGTCCTTCCCAGTCTTAGATCTATGATTCTATGACTGCCCCAGTGTAAGCATGCCAAGCCTGGCTGGGCCTGGCAGAAGAGCCAGGAGCACCGTGAATGGAATTAGGACAAACAGGGAGACAAAGACCACCAATGAAATGAGACTTTCCGACTGGAGGCTGAGGGCCGGCTCTGTGCTGTCAGCCCATGGAGAGGGGCTGAGAGAGAGGGCACGGGGCTCGCCTGGTCAGCTCTGCACGGAGAGGCTGGCCCTGCATGCCCAGGGGCCCGACCTTGCCCTGCCGTGGGAGTACTGATGGCTGCCTACTTGGCTGCCGGCCCCCTGAGCACACCCCCCTCGGGTGAGATCGCGGCGGCCGTCTAAGCAGGTCGCATGCGTGAGGTTGGGGAGGAGGGAAGGGGACCATTTTCCCACATGCCTCTGCAGGCTCTGGGAGAAGGTGAGCTCCCTGAGGGCAAAGATGCTTCCTTGCTCTTTCTGCATCTGGGCATCAGGCCTGGAGTTCAAATCCCACAAGATGAGGTTTAAGTGTGTCTGGCAGCAGTCTGGCCAGGCTGGGGCCCTCCCACTGCCTCTGGCCCCCGCACCGCTCTTGGGCCCACTGGGCTCTGAGGCCGCAGGGAAGCTGTGAACAGGCCGGCCTCCATGAGAGGAAGGTGTAGGAGCAAAGCCAGATGCCCAGAATGGGGAGAAGGACTTGCTCGGGGCTTTCACTTGCTGAGGAAATGCTGGCAGTGCAAAGGATGGTGACCCCGATCGCTGTGGCTGTCACGGCGGCCACAACCAGGGCGTGTCCTCTCAGGAAGGCGGGGTTGGTTGGTACGGCTCTGGTTGGGGGGGGGGAGCGGGAGGGCTTGGAGGCCCAGCTCCAGCATCTGGCAGCTGGGTGACACCAGACAGGTCAGGGTCCCTCTCTGGGCCTCAGTTTCCCCATCTGTCACATGAAGGAGCTGGACTCTACATCCTCTAAGGCCCCTTCAGGTCCCATGACCTCCCTGGACCTTAGTGTCATCACACATCAAACAAGGGGATGGACGGACAAGCAACGGGCGCCCGGTGGTCAGCGGGGCTCCTACCTGCGCCTGGGCGAGCTGTCCTTTCTTCACATCAGAGGCGTTCTCACCAAGCTTCCCTATCTTGTTGCTTGAATTGCACCGGTAGCACATCCACCTGGCCTGGCTCCCCGTCCCCACGGTGCACTCTTTGTTGAGCAGGCACAAGGAGTGATAGAGGTGGCCACAGCTGCATGAGGGAGGCACTGGGTCACCAGCTCTGGACTCCCTGCTCCCCAGGCCGGCTGGGTCCACCCCGCGAATGGCCCGAGGGGACCCCACCAAGGTCGTCAGGACACTCTCCACACGTGACCGGGGACAAGTCGCCACCATCTGTCACCGGTGGCTCCTGACCACACCTCCCTGCCAGGGATCAATGTGGCCCAAGGGCTCCCTTCTCCCGTGCTGCTTGCCAGAGGCCTGGCTTGGCTTTGGGGGTGCCGGGGTGCAGGGGAGATGCCTGCCGCACCCCCACCCCTTCCCCACCTGGCTGTCCCTCTGTGCTCCTCAGGGCGACCTCCCCACCTCACCAGAGATGTCTGTGGCCTGGGCCGAAGCCACGTGGCCCCCGGCCTGGGCGCAGGAGGGGCGTACCTGAAGACTACGATGTCATCAGCTACCTCCTGGCGCCGCCTGTACTGCTGCAGGCAGATGCAGCAGTAATCCTGCTTGGGGTTTAACCCTCGGGTGACCGACGCCCTCAGGTTACAGAGTGACCAGTGGAGGTCGTGGTTCAGGAGGTTGGTGGTCGTTTCCAGGAGTGTCTGGGAGGGACCACAAAGAGAACATGTTCAATGGGCTCAGGAAAATAAAGCAGAGAGAGGACGAGGGATGGCCATGAGCACCAGGTCTGAGAGGAGAAGGAGAAGATGGGCCCTGCCTCTCGGGCCTCCAGGCTCCCCAATGACCCTGAGGACGGAAGGCGGATCTGACCTCATCACTTTACTGTGGCTCTCTGGTGTCAGGCTCTCTGCTTCCCACCCTGTTCTCAGGATCCCCTGAGCTGGCTTCACCTGGGCCGGGCCAGAAAGCAATGGAAGTCATCCCGGGGATTCCCTGTGAGGCTGGGAAGCAGCACCCACCACCCCCCGTGTGCACTTTAAACTAGTGGGTGGAGGACTGACTGTCTAGAATGTCCTTGCAGGCCTCTCAGGATGGCTCTCCTGGATACGGCCGCCTGCCAGGGGTCTCCTATCATCTCGATGACCCCCAGATCTACCTGTCACTTTCTCTCTGTTTCAGTCTTGGATCTCCCCCAACCCCCGCACCATCGGCTGGGCATGACAAACTGGATGTTCTACACACATTTCAACTTCACACCTCCAGAGCATTAGTTTCCCCATTAACGGACTCCTCTCCCAAACTTTTCTGCTCCTGAGGAGGGCCCCACCATCTGTCAGCACCTCAGTTTCATAATCCCAGCCTCTCCTGGGCTCCTCGCCCTCCAGGACCCCCATGCCCAAATCTTGCTGTTTCTACCTTTGCTGACACCTCTCCCAGCTGACCCTTCCTCCGTATTCAGACCACTGCCACCTCTCACTGAGAAGATTGCAGCAGCCTCCTACGTGGTCTCTGCCTCCTCCGCACCAACCCACGCACTGAGGCCAAAGTAATTTTCCCAGTGTGCAAGCCTGACCGTGTGACGTCCTACTCAATTAAATTCAGTGGCTTCCTGTTGCCTCTAGAATAATTATAAACTCTAGCTTGGCCTGTAAAGTCCCCTTCAAATCTATCTTTCCAGCCTCATGGGACGTTACTCCCCCTCCCCCAGGCTGAGGTCTAGCCACAATGGCCTTTCTGTTCCTCGCACAGGACTCTCCGTCTCCCAACTCCAAGCTTTTGCACTGGCCAGCCCCCATGCCTGGAATGCCCTCCCTTTGGACTGCTGCCACACAGGGTCCCTCTTTAAGGCTCCATCTTCTTGATGAAGTCTCTCCTGATCCCCTAACTGCTGCTGCTTTCCTTCCCCCCAAGACAACCCTGGACCTGAGCATTTTGTGGCCCTGCATTTATTCACTCTGAGTGTGTGCTGCGCCCATCCCTGTGATTGCTGCTGTCTCCTTGCATCTGTGTCCCCAGCACCTGCTGCCCGATGCTCCCGGCACGTAGGCTGCACCGTCATCAGACGCTCTGCCCCGTCCCTCCCTGTCCTCCCCAGACCTGACGCTCAGAAATGAGGCTGTTTCTCATCACGCAGATGGCACTGGGCCTGTTCACGAGGACCTGACCTTCAGAACAGCCTTGTGAGGTGGCTCCTGGTCTGGTCTAGAGCTGCCATCACTGCTGCAGATCTGTAACTACTCTGTAGGGAGGGGTCCGGCGGCACTGAAGGGCGGCTAGATGGTGCAGGGGATAGAGTGCCAGGCCTGGAGTCAGGAAGATCTTCCTGAGTTCAAATCTGGCCTCTGACACTCACTAGCTGGGTGACCCTGTCTACCTCAGTTTCCTCATCTGTCAAATGAGCTGGAGAAGGGAGTGGCAAACCCTTCCAGTATTTCTGCCAAGAAAACCCCACATGTGATCCCGAAGATGAAACAACTGACCAACAAATGGGGAAATGGATTAATTTCCTTAGGGGGGATACAACTCATTGTTATGAGGTCCTCCCAGGGAAGACACGTACTCCACCAATGCCTGCTTGGCAGCTTAGGGTCTTGGAGTGGCCTCCAAGAGGGCGAGGAACTTGCCCAGGGTTACATAGTTCAAGCAGAGGATTAGGCCACAGAGGATTAGGCCACAGAGGGTCGGGTTCAAGGTCAAGGAGCCTAGGACCACTAATAAGCCTCAGGAGCTTCTCTTTTTCAGATTTGAGGCAAATGGGGTACCTAGTGTGCCCAGGACTCCGCCACCAGGGCCCACTAAAGTGCCCAGGGCACCCCCACCACGGCCCACTAAACTTCTGAAGGCATGGCCATCATTGCCAAAGAACATTAGTAAAGTCTTGGATCCAGTCACTAAAGACATATCTTTACTTCAGGCCAGAACTGCCCCACCTGGGACTTACCGAGAAGCTGATCTAACATGGTAAACCTGAGCTAGGGGTCGCTGCAATTGCCAAAATCCATTAGGTGTTCACTGACTTTCCAGACTGCGGGCTCAGTCTGTCTTTAGTTTTTGAGAAGATATAATTATGAATTTTTAAGTGTAGAAAGTCTAGGTGCCTCCTCTGCCATTGATTTTAAATTACGAATCAGTCAATCAACAAGTTTTTACGTAATGCGAGGCACGATGCTTACCGTATATACTTGAAAGTAAGCATGACTTAATAAGCTTTTACTTTGTCACTGGGTGGTTTTTTTAGGCCAATTACTCTGTGTAAACAATATGAGAAAACAAACAGACGGTTTAACAAGAAAGATCCCTCCTCCCCACTCATTTTCATTCTCAACAATAAACCCCCAACAGCAAATCTGCACTGAAACAAAAACATCAGCTGAGCTTTGTTCCCAGCACCGGGAAGACTCAGACATGCAGCGACGCGTAACGTTACTTGTTCGTAGTTAAAGGTGTCCAGCATTCCCAGGATGAGTCCTTGGATCTCGCCGAGCCTTCCTCTTCCATAAACTGGATCCTGTAGGAAAAAAATCCAAGAGAAAGAAGCAAAGTTATTTTGTATATTTTCAGATACGTCATGGAGGACATTCCTGTCTGGGAGAGAAGGGACACGACTCTAGGCGTTCTTCCGTCCACCCATTCTTGTACTCTGCGGGCCACACAGGGTGTTCCCACCCCCACCTGGCTGTCTTCTTGATGCTATTTAAAAACAAATCGTTGTAGGGGCAGCTAGGTGGCGCAGTGGATAGAGCACCGGCCCTGAAGTCAGGAGGACACGAGTTCAAATCCAGCCTCAGACCCAACACTTGATACTTACTAGCTGTGTGACCCTGGGCAAGTCACTTAACCCAAATTGCCTCAAAAAAAAACAAACAAAAAACCACAAAACATATCGTTGGTTCTCACTGCCTCCCCACAGGCTGAACTGCCCCTTGTAACAGATGTAGTCAATCAGAATAAGCCAATGTTGATCATGTCTGAAAACAAGCCCCACTCCTCATCTCTGGGGCCTCTGTCTCTGCTGAAAGGTGGGAAGAGTGAGACTTTCTTAAACTTCAAACACCTGCAATGAAAGGGCCAATTTAAGGCACCCAGGTCTACTTAAAAAATAATTCTCTCAATCAAGTAAAAAATTACTTGAAATAATAAACAAATTTAGCAACATTGCAGGGTATAAAATAAACCCACACAAGAGTCATCAGCATTTCTGTATATTACCAACAAAGCCCAGCAGCAAGAGACAGAAAGAGAAATTCCATTTAAAATTACTGCAGACATTATAAATATTTGGGAGTCTACCTGCCAAAACAAAACCAGGAACTATGTGAACACAATCGCAAAACACTTTTCACACAAATAAAGTCAGATCTAAATAACTGGAAAAATATCAGTTGCTCATGGGTAGGCTAGGCTAATGTAATGAAAATGACAATTCTACCTAAATTAATTTACTTATTCAGCACCATACCAACTGAACTAACAAAAAATTATTTTATAGAGCTAGAAAAAAACAATAACAAAATTCATCTGGAAGAACAAAAAGTCCAGAATAGCAAGGGAACTAATGAAAAGAAATGCAAGGGAAGGTGGCCTAGCCATATCAGATCTTAAATTGTATCATAAAGCAGCAATTATCAAAACTACTTGGTACTGGCTAAGAAACAGAATGGCAGATCAGTGGAATAGGCTAGGTATGCAAGACACAGCAGTCAATGACTAGAGTAATGTACTATTTGATAAACCCAAAGACCCCAGCTTCTGGGATAAGAAATCACTATTTAACAAAAACTGCTGGGAAAACTGGAAAAATGTATGGCAGAAACTGGGCATAGACCAACACCTTACACCCCATACCAAGATAAAGTCAAAATGCATACTGGATTTAGATATGAAGACCCAATACTATAAGCAAACTAGAAGAGCAAGGAATAGTTTACCTTTCAGATCTATGGAGAAGGGAAGAATTTATGACCAAACAAGAGACGGAGAACATTATGAAATGCAAAATGGATAATTTTGATTACGTTAAATTGAAAAGTTTTTGCATAAACAAAGCCAATGCAACCAAGATTAGGAGGGAAGCAGGAAACTAGGAAAGAATTTTTATAACCAGTGTCTCTGATAAAGGCCTCATTTCTAAAATATAGAGAGCACTGAGTCAAATTTACAAGAATACAAGTCATTCCCAATTGATAAATGGTCAAAGGATATGAATAGGCAGTTTTCAGAGGAAGAAATTAAAGCTATCTATAGTCATATGAAAAAATGCTCTAAATCTATTGATTGGAGAAATCCATATCAAAACGACCCTGAGGTACCACCTCACACCTCTCAGATTGGCCAACATAACAACACAGGACAATGATAAATGTTGCAGAAAATGTGGGAAAATTGGAACACTAATTCATTGTTGGTGGAGCTGTGAACTGATCCAACCATTCTGGAGAGCCATTTGGAACTATGCCCACAGGGCTATAAAAATGTGCATATCCTTTGGCCTAGCAACAGCACTTCTAGAGCTGTATCCCAAAGAGATCATAAAAAAGGGAAAAGGACCCATATGTACAAAAATATTTATAGCAGCTCTTTCTGTGGTGGCAAAGAAATGGAAATTGAGGGGATGCCCATCCACTGGGGAATGGCTAAACAAGGTGTGGTATGTAACGGAATACTACTGTGCTATAAGAAATGATGAGCAGGCCGACTTCAGAAAAACCTGGAAAGACTGGCATGGACTGAGGCTGAGTGAAGTGAGCAGAACCAGGAGAACCAAACAACAGTCACACTGTGCGATGACTGACTTTGATAGACTTAGGTCTCCTCAGCGATGCAAGGATCTAAGACAACTCCAAACGTCTCACGATGGAAAATGCTGCCCACCTCCAGAGAAAGAACTCTGGAGTCTGAATGCAGATGGAAGCAGACTGTTTGCTCTCCTTTTCCTTTGCTGTTTTGTTTTATTGCTTCATTCTCAAGTCTCCTCCCATTAGTTCTAATTCTTCTCTACATCAGGATTAATGTGAAAATATGCTTAAAATCAATGTATAAGTAAAGCCTATATCAGATGGCATGCCATCTTGGTGGGGGGGGGGAAGGAGTGGGAGGGGAGAAAATTTAAGACTCAAAATCTTATGGAAGTGAATGTTGAAAACTAAAAATAAATTATAAAAAAAATTTTCTCACAGGAGAAGGCACCTCTTCCCCCTTTTCTGCAAAGGTCTGTGTGTGTGTGTGGCGGGGGATCTATGGGTATGGAACACTGCATATAAGGCTCAGATTTAAAAAACATATTGGGTAGTTTTATTGCACTGTTTTTTTCCCCCTCCATTTTTCATTCATCACTATAAGGGACGGTTTTCTGGGAGGGAGAGAGGGAAAATATTGGGAAATGCGAGTGACAGAAAAACAGAAGTTATCAATAGCTATTATTAAAATAATTCTCTTTTTCTTTTAACGTTTCATTTGCAGGTCCCTCTAAATCTTTCCCCTTCCCTTTTGTTTCAGCAGCTGCCTCCTTCTTTCTTCTAATTCAGCATCAGCCCCCACCCCCACCCCTGTGTCAGTTCCTGGCTTCCATTTCCACCACATCCCTGCTACCAAATGAGACCCCATCCCATGACTCCTGTGCTCTGCTCCCATCTTGCATGGGCTCCAGCAGGTACTAGGCCCAGGTCCCCAGAAGACGCTAAGCTCCATGAAGGCAGGGAGCGCACTTGTTGGTATTTCTATCCCTCCCAGCACCTAACACCATTGAAGAAGCATGACGAATACTGAATGCTTATTGAAAGCCTTTCCAGGCTACAGAGTAAGCAGCTAGTGCATTTAGAGTGGGTCTGTGCCCTGATTCCCCCTCCATTTATCCTCCAACAGTATACTGGGATTTCAGCAAAGTTCTTGACCAAACCATCAGATCCTAGGGTTTAGAGCCAGAAGGAACCCTTGGGATCAGCCTCCCCATTTTAGAGCTGAGGAAATGGAGGACCATAAAGGTTAAATGACTTTCCCCAAGTCTTGTGGGGATGGGACAAAGCCAGGATTTGAGCTTTACCTAGGACTCAGCATCTAACTTTCTTCCCACCATACCATGCCATTTATATGATGCCAAGCCTCTCGTGACAGACTTGGGGGAGAAGATGGAAGGCCTGGAGAAGGCTAATAGTCAAGTGAGGAAGATTTGGGGCTGGCTGGCACCAGACCCAGAGTGGTGCATGAATGAATCTGTGCCCACTGCAGGGAGTCTTTCTGGTGCAGTTATCACAGGGCGTTCATTGTCGTCAGTTTGCTGTCCTGATTCATTCATGTCAAACATTTACTGAATACCTAGTCTGTGCGTAGGGACCTGGGCTCCTGTGGGCTAGGTTCACAGTGACTTTTGTAAGGCGCTGGGCTAGGTTCCGGGGACAGAGGGATGAAGGTGAGGTCCTGGCCAGTTTCACGAGGCCAGTTTCACGAGGCCCTGGCTCCATCCCAGAAGCCCTTGCTCTCTGGGGCTTCTAGTTTCCCACGAGACTTCTTTGCTCCTAGGGCTGAGACAACTGAGTGGACAAAGTCAAGAGTCTGCTGCCAGGTCCAAGACGCCTCACCTTTGAAGGGGACACCTGCCCTGCTTCTCTCTGCCTCTCTCTTCAAGGCTCAGGGTGACCTCCCCTTTGTAATGCTCCCTGAAATGATGACCTTCTTTCCCAAACACTGAGAAAGCCCTTGCCCAAATGTCTCCTTCCCCCATCACCCCCTATCCAGGAGTGTGCTTCTCTATGTTAACTTCACATTCTTCTCCCTCCACATGACGGGCACTTCCTGAGGGAAGGGAGGGGCATTTTTCATACTGGATCTCTAGGGCCAAGCACATGGCAGAGGTGCCCAATAAATGTTTGATGAATAGATAACCAAAGGAATACAAATTAGCCGCGAGGCTCGGCGCATCACCAAAGCGAACAGAAACTTGGGCTGCACTGAGAAAAGCAGAGTCCAGAACGAGGGGGCCAGGAGACACCCCACGTCAGGAAGGTCGCTGATAAGCTACAAGTTACCCCAAGAGGAAGCCTACGGTGCGAGCCGCCCTGAAAGCCACCAAAGGCCGGGGACGCTTCCTCTGGAACAGAGAAAGCGCACGAGGTCGGCGGCCAGCAGCGTCACGCCCAAGGGGAGTCACCACCAGCTCAGGAGCATCAGGAGAAGGGAGGCCTTGCAGCAAACGTGACCCTGGACTGCAAGCGGAGCATGGCGAAACCTCCCTCCCAACATGTGCTGGGATACTTATTTATACTTATGATTATGTGCGTTACAAAGTCTGCACAGAACAAGAGATGAAGGTGAAATCACATTTGGCCTGGAGGCGGCGGCGGCGGGACGCCGGGTCAGAAAGTCGGTCTGGGGGCTGTGGGAGAGCCTTGAGACAGGGAAGCTGATCAGGAGGCCACACAAGAGTCTGGGGGAGCAGTGATGGAGGCTTGAGCAAGGGCTGTAGGATCTGAGAGGGGGGAGTATACATGACAGCCTGCGAATGAAGAAATGACAAGATCTGGAAGACTTTGGCAACCCAAAGTGGTTACGTGCGGTGAAGGGGAGTGAGGAATCGAGGACAATGGGTGATGAGAAGGCGGTTGGGTTTTTTGTGGGGGGTGGGGAGGAGAAGAGAACATGCCTAGCTTTGAGAGGCAGCCCTCCACTCTAACCAACCATTTCCGCTTATTGTGTGTGACTCACTATCCCCATCCAAATGAAAAAGCCGGGGTGGGAGAGACACCTCACCCATTGGGAGTGCACACAGTCTGCCCTCCGAGGGGCACCTGCCGCAGCCAGGCAGTGCCCAGGGGACTGAGGAAGGGGGGACTTTCCTCATGGTGCCTGGGCAGCTCCTGACCAGCTGATTCTGGGCTCCGAAGGGAGAGGTGACAAGTGTGCAGGAAGGAGGTCGTGGCTGGATCTCGGGAGTCTGAGGGGATGCGGGCAGGTGGGGCTGCGTTGGAGGCCAGCCCCCCACCTGGCCCCCAAAGGCACAGTAGGCTACGACCCATCTTCTCAGGGTCAAGCTACGGCAGTCACTTGGAAGACACACTCCTTTAGATAAGGGGAAGCCAAGCACGCTTTCGTCTGGCCAATTAATGCCTTTACAAACAAATCTGGTCCTTTGGCAAAGCATCAACAGCTCTCACAGAATGTGAGAAACGTCTAAACACACAGTCAACAAGTCTTCCTCTATTTAGCACAGAAGCGCAGCTTGGGCGATCTGGGGATTACAGAAAAGAGAGCCTTTCTAAGGCTAACCTCGGGAAATAGGGAGACATCTTGGTAGGGCATTTCTGTATTTGCTGGGACACTCCACTTCGGGATACATAATTGAAAGGCAACGGCAGGAAAAGGGCCTCCTGCTGGGACGACACATAAATTATAGACTGCAGCGGGGGCGCTCAAGGCTTCCAGCTCAGTGGGCGCTCAATTCCGGCCCTGAGATGTCAGGGAGAATCCTGAGCAGGGAGGAGACTGCGTGTTTGTCAGCTACGGAAAGTGCCCTCCCCCTGGCACAGAAAGGGCCTTTTGAAAAGGAGTCCTGCAAAAGACAGGCAGCTAGGTAGCTCAGTGGCTAGAAGGCAAGGCCTGGAGTCAGAAGACCTGAGTTCAAATCCTGTCTCACTTAGTAGCTAGGTGACCTGGGCAAGTCACTGAACCCTGTTTGCCTCAGTTTCCTCATCTGTAAAGTGAGCTGGAGAAGGAAATGGCAAACCACTGTAGTATCTTTACCAAGAAAACCCCAAATGGGGTCACGGAGAGTCAGACACGACTGAAATGACCGACCAATGACAAACTTCCAGAAGGACTGACAAAGTGTTCTTTCTGCTGCTTATCTGTCTGGCACATTTGAACCCTCAGCCATCGTGCATTAGCGTCAGGGTAGACGGTGGCCTCTGCGGGCCCCAGGGAGTCAGGCCCCCGCCTTCTCTCCCACACTAGGAACATCAGAAGTGCTCCCAAGGCAGAAAAGGCTTTTTACTGGAATCTGAATATTCACAAGAGCAGGAAATGAAGGTGACTCTAGACACAGAGCTCCAGGATAAAACTGGACGTACCTGTAGCCTGACTGGCCTCAGTGGGCCCGGGAGGAGGAGAGGAAGCCCTTGGGCCCCCTCCCCCCTCCTCCTCCTCGCTGCTGCTGCCCCCAAGCCCCACCCTGCGCACCCTCCTCCTCCTTCCCCATGACCCCAGCAGGCTTCGGGGCTGCATCAGCAGAGGGAGGAGAGAAGGCTGTCACCTGTGATGCTGCGTCTCCTCCCTGCTCCAGCTCCAGCGACGCCCCCTGGTCTCTGACTCTCTGGTGGCCCACTCCTTGTCCTCTTGTGTTACCCACTCTCTGAACCCACGTCCACCCAAATTGAGGCCCTCGACCCCTGCATCAGGCTTCTTTTCCCTTCCCTCCCCCCAGGCCCTCACTCCACGCCCTGCAGAAGCCTGGTGCCACGCAGCCAGTCCCAACCTCTCTAGGCCGACAGGGACACCGTGGCTCTCTTGCCTCAGGCTGGCCTCTTCCACTTGCCTGGTGGTGGGAGGGGGAGGGGGCCTTCCCCTTTCCAACACCATGCTCAGACGGGGGTACCAACCCCTAACTCCATCACTGCCGTTGTTAGCACCAGCCAAGGCCCATTTCAACCATCACAAAGATGTCACTTCTGCCCCGGCTCATTCTCTTCCTCTCTGCCCCTTCATCCCTGTTGCTTTCAGTGCCTCTGTGGACGGTGCATACAGGCCCTGACCTCACCTCCTTGACACTGCTTGCCTCCCCCAGCATGCCCCCATTGCTGACCTCATCTTCAGCAGGGCGTTCAATGCTCCAGTCCATAGACGTCTAACCTGGGGCCGCTCTCAGGCCTCCTTCCTTATCATTTCCTTCACACTCCCGGGTTCCCGGGGCCTACTCTTTATCTCTTTCACCTGTCGGTGGCAGACTCAGTCCAGTGACTCTCCCTCTCTCGTGGGGTCTGTACTACCACTGTCCCAGACTCTGCTGCCCCTCTGACTTCCTGCTGTGCCAATCCCTAAGCTTGCCCACCCAGCCCCCCACTGCTGCACTACAGAACCCCCAGGTGAACATACAGGACTTTGTACATGTGATCCCCCTCCACCTGGCCCTAGGCATGCCCTCTCCTGTCGATTCTCTGGGGCTGGCCTAGGCCGTCTCTTGCCTCTTCAAGGCTCCAATGCCACTCTGCCCACTGCGGGGGCCAGCCTACGTTCTTGCATCTCAGGCCCCGCCAACGAGCCTCTGCCTCTCCATCTCTCTCTGGTCCTTTCTTTCAGCTGCAGAGACCAAGCAAGCTCTGCCTTCTCCTCTGCGTTAACTCCCTGATCCCGCCTCTTCCGGGCCCTCAAACACAGCCTCCTTTGCCATGGTCTTGCCTCCTGCCTCCAAATATGCTCAGATCTGCCCAGGGTGGGCATGACTCTGCTTAAATGCCTGCTTAGATGGTGCCTCCCCCTCCTTTTACTAAATCCCCTGTATCTTAGCTCCCTTGCCCACCACCCAGTAAGAACGATCTCTCAGAGGCTCCTGACGACTTCCTTCCTGTGAAATGTCAAGGCTCCTGAAATTCCCTTTCTCTGAGTGTGTGTGTGTGTGGGGGGAGACTGCTGCCCTTGGCCCTAAGCCCTTCTTTCTGGGGTCCCTCTTCTCCTCTGGCTTCTGAGATGCCAGACTTTTTTGTTCTCACCATCTTGCGACTTCCTCTTCAGCAGAGTTAGCTAGTGGTACATGTTTATGTACTTGTCTTAATAGTCTCTTTTTTTTTAAGTAAAAGAGCATAACTCAGGGGAGCACCACAAGAAACACCTTCTCTTACTCGGTGGAATGGCTGGAGAGGAGAGTCATTGGTGCCCCAGGGCGGGAGGCCTGAGGACCAGGGGTGAGAACGCAAACCTCAGGCATTGGCGCACATGACGCATAACCAAGCACCGCGAACGCTCGCCGATCTAGCGCCGGATACCGGCCTTGACAAGGCTGGCTCCCAAAGCCCCTCCTCCTTCCCAGGACTCACTTGGAGGATTCGCTGCAAGATGGACGGCAGAGCGATGAAGGCCGCCGTGCTGTCCAGCACCTGCATGGTCAGAGACTTCAGAGCTACAATAGCGAGAGAGCGGCAGAGAAGGATGATTAGCACACGGAAACGGCAGCTTTCCTGCTGAACTCGTCACTCTTCTGGAGAGACGCCCAGAAGCTGGCTCGTCTCTAGGGCTGGACACAGACTCAGCGCACGAAAGGAGACGATATCGTCCAGCCACGTGCAGTGACATTTCACAATGCTATTACGGCTCAGAGCAAATGACCGCCATGTTACCAGGGGCGGGGGGAAAGACACAGGAGAGGAGGGGGAGCAGAGCCAGTGGCTGAGCACATGCTTAATGATGGCTTCAGATTTCTAAACGGAGTCCCAGTAGCCTTACATTCTGCGTGTCGAGGTGGAGCGGACGAGCTGGACAGCTTCTGGGGGGCCATCATTGCCTCCAACAGTGGAAACCAGAGAGCCTACAAGAAAAAGCAAACCAAAGGAGAGTAAGGCCTTGTGCTATTGAGGAGGTCACCATCAGAGCCTCTTCTCAGCCCTCCTCCACCGTGAAAACTTCAAAAAAGACACATTCCAATGTTATGGGATCATTTTCCTATTAGTTTTGGTTTACACAAACCTAGACAGTAAATGCATGGATATCTCACGTTTATAAGGACACAGATTATAGAATCCATAGCTAAAAGAGACCTTAGAAAACACCTATCGGATCTCTTTGTGTTTTGGAAAAAACTGGGGAAAGTGAGGCCCATAAAGTTTAGATAACATAATGTGAAAGTAGGCAATAAGTAAGGGTGTGGGATGAAAACTGAAGCTATGTTTCTAATGGCGAGAGTTCTTGCTTTTGAAACAAACTCAAGCCCACAAAAGCCCTAAATATGGGGGAACAATGACCCTACAAACTCTCCTGAAGAGACTCTGGTGCAAGTGAAGCTGAGCCCGAGAGCACAGAAAAAGGAAGCATCAGGAAAATGCTGAATGCGAGGACTGGCCAGGAAATGGTCGGGATGGCCAGAGAGTGTTCAGAAGGATGACAAACGTGCCTAAGTCAAGGAAGGGCTAGTGAGCATTCAGAAGGACAAATGTGTGTAAGGCAAGGACAGGCCAGGGAGCGGTCAGAAGGACGGGCCATGGAACGGTCAGAAGGACAGGCTAGTAAGCAGTCAGAAGGACAGGCCAGGGAGCAGTCAGAAGAACAGGCCAAGGAGCAGTCAGAAGGATGGGCCAGGCAGTGGTCAGAAGGATGACAGACGTGCACTTGCTAATGTTTTCAAATCCAAAGTATTCCTTTTTTTTTTTTTAAATCACATAAGCAATCTTTTCTTCTGCCATGTCACATTCCTATTCCTTAACAGACAAGAAGGGAAGGCTCCTGTGCCTGCTTCAGACCAAGAACCAGGAGCACCTCTGAAAAGGGAAGGCAGCTGCCTAGACAGCCCAGATGAACATCTTGTGCTCAGCTCACGTCCTTGCCTTAAGCACATTCTTCATCTTTCTGAACCAACGCTGCTTCCTGCCCCTGGGAAGGAAATCTGTCACATGAGTCTCCCGAGTCCTGCCTCATCCCCACTTCATGGGTGTGATGGAGAGCACTGGTGGACGGAGGTGGAAGAGCAACTGGATGAAGTGCAATAGAGGGCAAAGCAGACTGAGACACAGGAGGAAGAGAAAGTGACAGGGCTTTTCCATGAGTTGGAGGTTAGGTACTGTTATCAGAGGAGTTTTAAAAATCTGTTTTAATTTTGAAAAAAGGGCATTATCATTCTTGTGTTAACAAGCCACAGATGAGGCTGGACCTACTCCCTTACTAAATAAAAGAAAATGAATTCGGATTTACTTCCACACAGGCACGTCAAACCCAAATTAGCAGCCTTCGTAGCTTTGAAAGGTAACACGAGGATTAAATAGTGTGCCCTCAGTGACGTGTTTATACCCACTGGTTTAAAAGGCATGGAGAACGAGGAGGGGGAAGGGACAAAGGTGACAGAGAGAGGACGTGGGCTCGCAAGGACAGGTGCAAGCCTTCTCTTCAGGGCAGGAAGGGGAAGCAGGCGCTGGTTCGTGGATGATCCATGCTCGCCGAGCTGCTGTTTGCTGGCATCCCCAGGCCTAGGGCTCCTTCCAGTGCTTCAGTTACTCCACCTTCCCAAGCAGAAACTCGTGAACCAGGGTTTGTCCTGGGCAGTGCGCATTCGTTTACTTTTAAGTCTTTGGTCCCTAACCTGTGTTGAACTAAAGAAAACTGAAGAGGACCCCAGGCTTTATTTGTGGCCTCATTACTTAGTCTGTTTCCTGCTGAGATCATTTAGAGTTCAGGGCATTGTTGCCGAGCTTTCTGGGTCTTTAGAGACACCGAGGTGGCTCAGCGGGCAGCCAGTGATGCAGGGGACAGTGCCAGGCCTAGAGGCAGGAAGACTCGACTCATCTCCCCGAGTTCAAACTAGCTGTGTGACCCTGGGCAAGTCACTTCACCCTGTTTGCCTCAGTTTCCTCATCTGTAAAATGAGCTAGAGAAGGAAATGGCAAACCACTCTAGTAATTTTGCCAAGAAAACCTCAAATGGGGTCACAGAACATCTTAACAGGTCAACCTTTCTGTACTGCCATGGCAAAAGATGGGCTTATCCTAGTGTCTAGCTGAATACTTCAATATAGCATCTGAGAAATAAATAAGAAAACCGGTTTCAGCCCCCTGGCACCCATTCCACAAACCACTTGGGCCTTAGGCCCTGCTTACAAGGTTTTTCCCCATTTACTACCTTGGAAAAATCACTGTTGGCAAAAATGTAGTTGAGAAATTATACTCCCATCCCAGGGAGAATTCTGTGTGATTTAAAAGGTTTGTCACAGAACCTCTGTTTTTCTTTCATTTTTAGGCAGGTGGGAGTGTGGGGGGGTACAGTGGGTAGAGGGCTGGAGCATAGCTGGAAAAGACCCGAGTTCAAATCCAGCTTCAGACAATAGCTGTGTGACTCTCGGCAAGTCACTTAACCTCTGATTGCCTCAGTTTCCTCAATTGTAAAATGGGGATGATGACAGCATCTACCTCGCAGGGTTGTCATGAGAATCAAATGAGATAATAATTGTAAAGCACTTTACCAACCTCAAGGCACCCAAGAAACGCTGGCCACTGTTGTCACCGTCACCCCTGGCAGCAGGCTGGAAGCCAGAATGATCTAGTCCGGGGTCAGGAAACAACGGTCCACCAGCCCCATTCAGCTCCGCTCCTGACTTTTGTGTGGCCCCCAAGTTAAGACCTTTAGCTGTTGTTTTCTTATGGGGGCAGTGGCCAGATTTGGCACTCAGGCCCCCTGGTCCAGCCTATTGCGGGCAGCCAGAGCATCAGGCAGGAGAAAGGAGAAAAGGGCAGGGGGCTGGAGCTCTATAGGAGCCCACACCTAAGTGCCCAGCAACCTGGTTCCATGGGGAAGAGCCTCTCTTCTTCACTTGTCAAGCTGCATTTCTTCAGCTATGCCCACCAGAGAGGCACTTCATGCATTCCCATTTCCTTCTGGGAGTCAGCTACCCTGTGTGGCCCCTCTTGACCCCAGGGTCCCACAAACTCCTTGGTGCTGCTTCCAGGGCCTCATTTCCATTTGCACCAGCAGGGACTGGAGCGGGGGAGGGCAGCTGACATTTCTGCATCCTTCCTCTATGGGAGACTGAGGAATTCAGCCCTGGGCAAGTGGGCTAGCTTTCCCAATTCAGCATGGAGGGCGACTCAAGGGGTTTGAAGCCTTCTGCACGAACAAAGAGGCCGAGCACTCATGGTAATAATGTCAGGAATCTGTTACTCCTGGGAGCCCTCAACAGTGATTAAAATCCAATTTAATTAGACTCAAGTGGCTGAGAGGGCAATGTAAAAAGAATTAATTCCTCTTTCCAAACCTGAAAAGCCTGCAACAGCCCTGGAGACTGGCGAGGCTGCCCTCTTACCTCTCGCTGTTGCTGGTTCAGACTCTGTGAATTCCTTTGGCACAGGGCGATTGTCTCTACCAAGATCTCTTCCACGTCCTTGAATGAGGGGTCCTCTCTCACATCTATATTAAAAAAAAAAAAGATGGAACATCTCACAGGAAGGTCACACTCCTCCCTTCCACACCACTGGAGGAAACGAAATCTGTATTTTTTGCCCAACTTCAGGTCTTTGCAATATGCCATCTATGAACTGGGACCCTTAGGCACAGTAATGGATAAGTGACAGGAAGGTCCATGGAATAATAAAATGACAGAACAGACTTAATGATATTCCATGCAAAGCCCACCAAGTCATTTTGGAAAACTGAAGCCAGGGGGTGGTCTCTAGCTCAGAGACAGCAGACCCTCATTTTTCCAGGAGGAGGATGAGCCACCCGATAGATTAGCAAATCAAACTTTGTCTCAGGCTACCTAGCTTCCCCGTGCCCCTTGCCAAGCTTCTGGGGCCCTCCTCTACTGTTAGGTGACATGTGGTCAGGGAATGCAATTCTCTTAGCCTATGGAAAACATACTGAGAAAGGCTGAACCATCTCAATGCACAGTCCCAAAGCCATCACCTGCACCACAAACCCACTGGTGGGTCCTTGGGGGGTGGGCACCAGCTCCAGTGTGCTAACAGGCCAGCAGAGAACAGCACACTTGAGCAGTCTTACACCCTGGGTGCCTACTTCAGATGATTCTGCTTCCTCAAAGATGCCTGTCCCTACTCCCACCATGATGAACACAGGAGGAGACGGCAAACATAGTTAGGTGGCAATTGGCTCCTCCCTGGACTGCGTGGCTGGAGAAACAACCCTGGACTGCTGGGGCGACTGGGGGAAATGGCTCTTGCAGCATTTCCCACAGATCTACCAGGTCTGCCCTTTGTGAAGCTTGTGTTTGAACCCTGATTACTCTAAACAAGATGCTCATAAATGCAGCAGATGTGATCTCACGGGCCAATCAGGGATACTGCCTTCAACAAGGATTTCCTGTGTTCCAGGAAACAACATGGTTCCCGTCTTCAAGAAACTTATTAACTGATATGCCAAAGGTCAGAGAAGGACAAAAGTGTAATCCTGGCAGGCAGGGGAAAGATGGATGGGCTAAAGGGCTGAGTTCATCTAAGACCGAGCTGGCAATTACAGAAGCAAAACCCAGTGATCAAAAACTTACTTTCACTTTCCTTTGTAAACTCCTGGAGTCTGCTTTGTAGTCTCTAGGGGACAAAGGAAATAGTTCATATTTCTTGTCTCCCAAACACCTTATTTCTTTTTAAAAAATTTTATTTTGACTTAAAAATTCTCTCCCCTTACCCCATCCCCACCCACTGGCAAGCAATGTGAAACCCATCATACTATGAAGTCACATAAAACATTTCCATATTAGCCATGTTGCAAAAAATAAAAGCAAAACAAAAATGCTTTGATCTGCACTCAGAATTCATCAGTTGTCTTTCTGGAGGCAGAGAGCACTTTCCATCATGAGTCCTTTGGAACTGTCTAGGATCAGTCTTAGAGTAGCTACGTCTTGTTGCGGTTAATATGCGCAATGACGTCCTGGTTTTGCTCACTTCACTTTGCATCTGTTCATATAGGTCTTCCCACCATACTTGCAGGAAGGAGGGAGAGAATTCAGAACTCAAAGTTTAAAAAAAAAAGCTAAAACTAAATAATAGATTTTTTTTTTAATGATGATGGGATTGCACAAGGTCCATCCAGTGAGAAAGGCCAGAGGAAGAGAAGTGGAAGCTGGTGCCTCCAAGCTAAATGGCACCTGATAACAAAGGAAGTCTACTGCCGTCCCAGGGCATATGGCCAGGATGGGGCGGAACAACTTCCAACACCTGTCACATCTGATGGCTGCTAATTCATGTCAGCAAAGACAATATTGCCTAAAGGAATCCAGAAAGCGCTGCTACAGAAGATACCCATGACCTCGGGGGCACAGTGATATTTTCATCATTGCTGACAAGAGAAGGCAAGGGCGTGAGATAAGAAAGGCCCACTGGAGAGGTGAATGGCTGTGGAAGAAGGTGGGGCCTGAGGATGGGATTTCTGGAACATGGCGTACGGTACAGGAATGAGGGGCTTCTAACCACAGCTGAGCTGTGTGAGGGCCAGCAAGTGCTGGCAGTTTTGCAAATCTACTCAGAGGTAACCCACACTTTGTGGGATGATGTGGCCTGCGGCTCTGGAAGGGCATCTCTTCTTCCAAAGGAAGAGGCCAGATCAGCACCGGGCACCATGGAGGGGTACTTGAGAAGCCAAGGCGGGAAGCAGAGAGGAGCCCACTCAGGTATGGTTGTTGAACTACGTGACCATGCTCAGATCACCTGGCCAGACCAAAGAAAGAGGCTGAGTTTGGGACACAGATCACAAGCCTGGCATGAGGACGGGACGCAGCAGTGAAGAAGCAGGCTCATTATCCAGACATCTGCTTGAATTCTCCTTCAGCCAAAAGCAGATCAACTCACACACTCCTGACTTGCCTTAATGATCCTTTCATCCTTCAAAAGGTGGAAGCAGCAGAGAGGGGGACCTCCTATTCTGGATCTGAATTTCCCCAGCGGAGAAGAGCTGATTGCTGTGGTAGAAAGGACAGGAACCTTGGGGGATGGTGACTATTCCATCACAGGATTCATGGCAGAGAACTGTCTGACATAAAGCAAGCTATTGTCTGGTACACAACAATATATCCAGCACCCAGGACTTCAGTATCTATGCAGGTCACAGCCTGGCTATGATTTACTTGGTGGATAAATTGTAAGGCCTACCTGAGGCTCAGAGATGCTCACTGACTGGCCAGGGTCACACAGGGTCAGAGGCAAGATTTGCACCCAAAGCCTTCTGACTGCAGTCCCAGCCCTCTAGCCACTGTCCAACACTGCCTCTCTTCATCTGATGTGCACCTAGATTCTGGGAGACTGTATTTCAAAAGGTTCAAGCAGGATATCATAAACTAAAATTGTATGGGGTGAAGTAAGCCAAGGAGAGAGCTAATTCCTCAAGAATAGAATTCTGAAGGCACAGAGAGAAACCACCTGTGAGGAAGAGGAAAAGGAACTGTCCTAGGAAACTGAAGGAGAGGAAGAGGAGGCAGATGACCAACTCCACTGCACATCCTCCATCTTCTGTACGTGTTTGTGAAACCAACGTGTGGAATGGTCCTTTGAGAGGGCCAACAAGCTGTGGTGTGTGCCTGTGATGGAATACTACTGTGCTAGAGGAAATGACGAGCAGGATGTGCTCAGAAAACTCTGGAAAGACTTACACGAACTGACGCAAAGTGAAGTGAGCAGCACCAGGAGAACGCTGTACACAGCAACAGCAACGTTGTATGACAAACAACCGTGAATGACTCAGCTCTTCTCAGCAACACAATGATCCAAGACAATTCTGAAGGACTCATGATGGAGAATGCTGTCTACCTCTAGAGAGAGCGGATGAACACTGAACATACAAGGGCTGGTAATCACATATTTGCTGGTAGCTTTGCAGATCTACTTGGAGGTATTCTAGACTTGGGGGGATGATGCCTATGACTGACACATGGCTCTGGAAGGTTGGGGTTTTTTTTAAACCTTTTTAAAAACAAGCAAAAAACCACGTTTCACTGTGAAAAAGAAGATTTTAGAAGGGAGAGAATGGCTGGTCATGGAGGAGGGAAAATGATGGATAAGGAAGAGAAGTCAGAGGTGCTCAACTCTGAAGAATGACCTATGGTCTATGAAGGACACAGCAAACATGGCAGACAGGGAGTGATTCCTACCCAGGGAAGGGGATGGTAAGAGCACAAACGGCCCTGAGGATGACAATGAGGCGTTGGCCAGTTTGAATGACATTCCAGGTCCTGATCAGACCAGCTAGTGTTTGTGCTGGGCCCCTGTATCCATCATGGAGAATTGGGAGAGGTTCTGCAAGATTCCTGCATTCCCAGAAAAGGGAGAGAAAATGGGCCACCAAATGTAGGCATCGACAAGCCTCTGGAACATTGGTTAAAGGGACGGCCAGTGGATATCTTGAAAAGGAAGCAGTGATCACAAAGCACCAGCATGGCTGCTGCAAGACAAGTGATGTGCCGTAAAGGACGCTGCCTTTTTGGAAGATTATCTGCTTTTCAAACATGCCACGAGAGAGGGTTCTGAGCCAGGCAGAGCAGACAATGCTGCAGATAAGAGCTGACCTAGATGCAGTAAAGCATTTGACAAAATCTCTCATGTTGTTTTGGGGAAAAGACAGGCAATGTGGGCTTAATGAGAGTGCCGTGAAGTGAGTTCAGAAATGGTGGGTGGCTGCAGCCCAAGAGCAGGCCTCAGTGGAGGAAAGGCCCTGGGGAGCTTGCCGGGAGCTGCGTCTGTCTTTACTTGTTAATGGTTTTATCAGAGACTTAGAGAAAGTCACAGATGGTGTGTTGTTTAACATCACAGCTAGGAGGGAGAGCCAACATGCCAAAGGACAAGCTCAGGATTCCAGAAGACCTCGATGGGCAGGGACCTTGGGTGAAATCTGATCATGTGAAGTTCCACAGGAATCAATGTGAAGGATCGCGTTTGGGTTCAAAGATACACTTCCCAGGAGCCTGGGATGTAGAAGGCCTGGCCAGGGAGAAAAGCACCCCAAAATCTGAGGGCTTGTGGACTGCAGCAAGCACAGGATGAGCCAACAGCATGATGTGCGTAAGAAGGTCAAGGAAAACAATATGACCAAGACTGCTGGGTCACAGGACTAGATGTTGTCTTTGACCCTCATGACCTCCCAAACTCCAACACAGGAATTATGAAGCAGCTGCCTCCAAGGTCTGGGACACAAGCACTCAAACAAAGTGGAAAGCTGCTGAACTAGGGGCAGAAGACCAACATCTGACCCTTAACCTCTGACCTTCCGTGGCCAGGCGGAGCAGGGGCTATAGGAGCTTCTCCCCCTACCTGGACCCTCCTCTCCCCACACCACTGTGATCTGAACAGCAGGAATGTGCTCAGGCCACGGCAGAGCTCGCCTGGAGAATGAGGAGCACAGGAACACAGGACAGGACGCACACCTGTGTGAGGCCAGCAGCAGGGAAAGGGCGCCATGTCCAGCTGGGGCGAGCTCTGCCCCCAGAAGTCATCTGAGGCAGAGACCGAGGCTGGGGAACTGTGAATGAGCCAGCCTGGGAGAAGGCCAAGATGTAACCAGCATTTATTAAGCACCTACTGTGTACCAGGCACAGTGCTAAGTGCTTTACAAATACTACCTCACAACAACCCTGGGGGGAAGGTGCTGTGATTATCCCATTTCACAGGGAGAGAAACTGAGGCAGGCAGAGGCTGAATGATCTGCCCAGGCTTTCGGTTTGTTTGTTTTTTTGTGTGTGAGAATAAATTACAGAATGGGAGGGTGCGTCGAAGGCAGGGAGAGGAGGATGAAAAAAAGAAAAATATGTGATGCGCCTTGATCATTTCAAAGGTTCAGAAGGAAAGGAAAACAAGTCTTTTAGTTTGTCAGGAAGAAGAGAGCCAAAGGGAGGACGAGCGTGGAGGCAAAGGGAGAGGCGGACAAGGGAGGAGAGAAAGGCCTGGAGCCTCGTCTCACAGGCCGGCAGCGAACGGTGCTCGCTTATCGGTGGCTGCGGGGGAGGGGGCATGCCCTCTTCACCTCTGCCCCCCCATGAGCACCAGCACAGGTCTGTAACAACCATGCGTTAAATTCATGCTGGTCTCACTTAATGGTAAATTCCTAACATTTCCTTTTAATTTCCCAAGTGATTTGGCTCAGTACAGTACTAAGGTTGAGGTACCTCTCCAATGAGACAATGGAAGTTAATTTGTGTGGGGTTGTGTGTGCGCGCGTGTGTGTGTGTGTGCGTGTGTGTGTGTGTGTTGTGTGTGTGTGTGTGTGTGTGTGTGTGTGTGTGTGTGATTCCTGAGAAATAAAAGTGAGGATTTCTGGTATGAGAGAAAAGATAAACCTATCCAGAAAAAACAGTTATGAAGCGAGGAGCCTCAATGGTTGGCTAAACGCTGCCACACCCTCTGGTCAGAACCATTTGGCTTCCCCAGGTGGGCCTGCGGCCCGGTCATCTGTGCTCATGCACAGAGCCTCTGACCACCACCGTGACCTTGGCTTACAGTTAACAGTGGGCCTGGGGCAGTGTGTGAAGACATGAACCTACTCAGATGAGCTTCTGAAGGATGCCTTTTGGTCACCCTGCACGCCCTTTTGGCATCTAAAGGATGACACCGAAGAGTCTACAAGAAGATCCAAAGTGCAGCATTGTCCCTGTAATGACTCCTACATGCCCAAAGGCCAGCCTGGTAGCCATAGTGAGACGGATCACCACCACAATGGCCACAGGGTGGTGAAGGTTTCAGCCACAATCACTACTAGGGCCCAGAGGATGGCCAATACCTGTTGGTGTAGGGGGGACAGGTTGACAAGACCCCGGATCCCTGAAATACTGCAGAAGCATGGGCCTAAGGAGGCTGCCCACACGGCCCTCTGCTTAGCCTGACAACCCCACGGCTGGAAGGAATCTTGGAATCCACCTTCTTCCTAATCCAAGTAGGCCCATGCCTTGTCCCCAGTGAGATGAGAACCAATTCCATCTGAAGACTGCCAGAGGCAGACAATCTTTCAATCAGCTTGTGAAACTCATTTTAAAATATAATATGATTCACTCTCTCAGGATGTCAGCTCACCTCAAGCATTATTAAGAAAGCACCGTGAACATCCCCTTTCTTCTCTAAGAGGTAGGCACACACTTCAAGCAGCTGGTACTTCTGGGTAATCTAAAAAGGGAAGATTCCAGTTTTCTTAGTTTTTTATGCTGAAGATGTCCTCTTAGCACCAAAGAAAATGATGACAAAGTTAGTAGACTGGAAAATGAGAGCTTTGCTCCCCTACTAGCCTATTCCTTCAGTCTGGGATCTCTTTTTCATACACTGTGACGAGATTATCTCTTCTTAAGAAAAGACCTGAAATTAGTGGGGAATTGTCAACAGGCCAGGTCCATACAAGTCTTACCCCAGAAAGGGAGGAGTACCTGGCTTCCAGTACTAGGCTGGGGACCAGGGCACATGTCCCCAGGGACAATGGCATGTCCTCATTGTCATCACTGTGTCTTACTTTCATCCCAGGATAAAACCAAATGTTGGATCCCATGCCAGGGCCTTACCTGAATGGTCTCTTCCAGCCGGTAGGACTCGAGGACTTGCAGTGTGTCAATCACTTGGTGAGGGTTATATTGACATAACAAGTCAATGAACTGCTCTGTGATGTAAGGAGATGCCTGGAGCGACTCTTGGTTCATGGAAATACCTTCCCTGAAAAGAGAAAAGCCAGAGGACCATTGTACTGGGGCAGCATTGACTACGGCCTGAGGGAGTGATCAAAGGTTAAAGAAACAACCCACAACCCAGGGTCAGTACCTGGAGAGGAGGCCCCAAGACCGGGCAGTAGAAGCCCAGTATTACCCAGGAGCTCCAAGCTGCCACAGAGCACCCCCTGACTAAGCAGAGTGGGACTGGCCAACAGCCCTTCTCCGATTCCTGAAACCAGGAGGATTTCCTAGCTGCCTCAGTTTGACTCAAGAACCAGGTCAAGTCTTAAATATCATACTTTACCCTTTTCAAAGTGATTTCTGCCCAACTACCCCAAGAGATAGGGCTTTAAAAAAATTTTTTTTTTCAGGCAATTGGGGTTAAGTGACTTGCCCAGCGCCACACAGCTAGTAAGTGTCGAGTGTTTGGTCTGAGGCCGGATTTGAACTCAGGTCCTCCTGACTTCAGGGCCGGTGCTCTATCCACTGCACCACCTAGCTGCCCCAAGAGATAGGTTTTTTAAAACTCAGGATCTGTGATTTAGGAAGGTAAGTGGTACAGTACACAGAGCGCTGGGCCTGGAGTCAGGAAGACTTGAGTTCATATTCAACAAGACATTTGCAAGCTGTATGACCTTGAGCAAGTCACTAGACTGTCACCTGCCTCCATTTCCCCACCTGTGAAATGAGGATAATAGTAGCACATCCCTCCCAGAGCTGTCGGGATCACATGAGATAATATTTAAAGCACTCTGAATGCTACCAATCATTATTATTGATAATACTAATCAGTAGAAGAAAACTTCTGATGTGTAGCAATCACTTATATAGTCTTAGGGAGTTGCCCGGGGGCAGTCAGAGGCGGTCACTACAGGCTGCTTGTGTGTGTGTCAGAGACCACACTCACACCCAGGTCTTTCTGCCCCCAGGTCCAGCCCGCTGCTCATGACAGAGGTTGCTTTCGTGAAGTACAGACGTCAAACACTGTTTCCCCTGATTTACAGAGGGGGAAACCAAGGCCCAGGGAAAGTTAGTGACTTGCGTAAGGGCCTTTGGCCAGCGAGGAGTGGAGCCAGGCCTCACGCCAAGGCCTCTTGGCTCCTAAGCCGCGACACCTAGCTGCCTCCTGTCCCAGGGTCTGATTCACAGTCGATAAATCACTACCACGGGGGTGCCGTCAGGAGCTGGTCCCAGAGGAGCTTCCTGAAGCCACCACTAGTGGGCTCTATTCAGATAACCCAGAGGAGGGGCAGAAGGAGGCCATCACAGGGACGGGTTGGGAGACAGGTTAAAGGAGCTGGCACTCACTGAGTGAGGGAGGGCAGGGCAGGGACCGCAGAGGCCGCACTAATGAACAGACCGCCAGCGCTGGGGATGCCCCGAGCGCCATTTCTGCAAAGAAGCTTCAATCACAGCAGAAGGACTTCCTGATGCTAACAGCTCAGTGACTGCAGCTTCTCTTACAATGTCTCTGGGAGAGCGAAGACAAAGCAGACAGATGACTGGCATGGGCTGAGTGAAACCCCTCCTCACTTTCCAATCCCCTCCCTGGACTCCACGCCTTGTGATGCTGGCCTCCTGGTGTCCTCACACAGGACACTCCACCTCCTGCCTCCTCGCCTTTGCACGGGCAGTCCCTCATGCCTGGGATGAGCTCCCTCCTCACCTCCGCCTCCTGGATTCCTTCTAGGCTCAGCTCACAACCATCAGTGCTTGGCACAGTTTGCTGACTGACTGATTAACGGTTTTTTGAGGGATGAAAAGCTAAAGTTTCTTTTTATGAGAAGAGTCTATTTTTTTTAGGCAATTGGGGTTAAGTGACTTGCCCAGGGTCACACAGTGTTGTGTTTGGTCTGAGGCTGGATTTGAACTCAGGTCCTCCTGATTTTAGGGCGGTGCTCTATCCACTGCGCCACCGAGCTGCTCCGAGAAGAGTCTATGTTCTGCTAAATGAGTGATGTTCCTCTGGCTTTTGGTTAACCAGGTCAGGCTATCACCGCAGGAAGCTGGTGATGGGCAGATGTGAGTGCACGCGCATGTGTGTGTGTGTGTGTGTGTGTGTGTGTGTGTGTGTGTGTGTATGTGTGTGTAAGAGCTCTGCACTCCCTGCCTTCTGTGTCCCCCGGCCCTGCCCTGAAGAGCTGAGAGCCCAGCACTGTGCCCAGCAGATGCTCAGGGGCCGGCTGGTGAAGGCCGCAGTGAAGCGTTCAAGGGGAGACATGCAAGGGCAGGACTGGGGGAGGGGCTGGATGCAGATGACGGCTTCCCGAAAAAGCAGGGAAAAGAGGTCAGCATGAAGGAAGAAAGCCTCTCCACTCAAGGAGGAGGAAAGCCCTGAGAACAAGGGGCTTGCAGCACCATGGTTTTCTTTGCCTCAAGGCGAAGCAGAAAACAGCCTGCAGAGAGGCCACATCAGGCCCGGTCCCACTGCCCTCGGTGCCCTCATCAGTGTCAGGTCACTCTTCCTGCATCGACAAATGCAAGCCTGGGCAAGGGATGAGAATGAGCCCAAACACCTGCTCGTGAATCTAGGCCCTGAATTCCTCTCCAAATATTATTGACAAAATCACTTATGAGAATAGAAAATGTGAACACACACCACTCTAAGCACATGAATGGACTGCAATGCCTTCTCTTGAGGGGAAATGCTAAGGCTGCTGGCCAGTGATCAGCGACAAACTCAGCCCTGCTGGATTTCCATCCCAGCTGCTCTTCGGGGTCTGGGACACTGGGACGCTGAGCCACATCTGCTTCCCAAAGCTGTCCCTGTCAGCCTCCCACCAACCACCTGCCGGCCCATTTGTCCATTCTTTTTTTGGCCTGTAGTCCTGCCGGAGTGGAGAAACTGTGCTGTGCCCCATCCGCCCCGCAGACCAACCACTCATCCACGACAGTCTCGGCCGGCTAGGGGGTCCTGAGGGGGGAAGGGGCTTGCTGAGGGTCACATGGCCTTCTGTGGCAAGCCTTGGGCCTAGGTCTTCCTCCCTCCTCGGCCAGCTCTCTTACCTGCTGCACTGCGGTGCTTTTGCCAACACGTGGCATGTCACATCTATCTCGTCCATTCCTCTGGGAATCTCCCTGTGAGTAACAGCCCTGGGTGTAAAGAAAGCAGCACTGACACAGGACAGGGGCTTTACGAGGGCTTCCTCCTCCATAACTACCTCCTCAAGAAGCATAATCGTGGACTAGGTCCAGGCTGACCCCTGAAGGCAGGAACTGCTCCAAGACAGAGCCCTCTGTGTGTGGTTTTCCTGGAACAAGAGGCACCGCCAGGCCAGTCTTGAAGAAAGGCAGCAACAGATCTCGAAATTTACATCGTGATTTGGGAATATTTTACAGGAAAAATACCTTCTGTTGGATGAAAGGACTAAGATGAAGCTGCACAGATCACTGGGTCCTCCCTTCTGATTCTCGACAAGCCACGTATAAATAGGGACCTTAGAAGCCGCCTAATCCAATCCCTTTACAGGGAAAACTGAGGTGTGGAAAGGTTAAGCGACCTGACTAGAGTCACACAAACATTAACAGGCAGAGCCGGGGTTCATCAGTCAGTGCACATTTACTAAGGACGTTCACTGTCATGCCAGGCACTGTGCTGGGCACGGGAGCCGTGTCTAAATCCATTGCTTTTCCCACAGCATCTTACTGCCTCTAGCTCATTGATCAAAGCAGCCGAGGTGTCTACACCTCCCTCTGCAATCTGGTTTCAGTGACTCCGGGCCTTCTTGGCTGGGTTCCTTCTGTGGGAATGCTAATCTCAGCTCAGGTCCATAGCTTCTGCTCCTAGAGCCAGCAGGGACTGACCCTTCTTCTTTATGTACTGAGATCTCCAATTCATTATTCATGGCACAGATAGAAAGGCATGGTATTATTAATGCTTAGGAAAAAAAAAACTCACATAGATTTTTCAACTAATAAAACCAAACCGCTATGGGCTCTAGCAATCCAGCACTTCGTGAACACCATAAGCTGATTTTCTAGCTTTTTATTTAAAATCATGTTAACATTACTACAAGGCTTGTAATCTTGTACTGATTTAAAAAAAAAAGCAAGCCAGTATTGGGTCAAATCTCTCAAAAAATGGCTGAAAAACATATTACCCTTGTTTGTAGTAAAGACAGGGGCCTACCAAAACTGTATTAGATCATATGATATGTGACCATAATGCCTGTCTCAGCCAAACAGCTTGAAAAGCCATCTACACTGGCTAGCTCTGTTTCCCTCACTCCTCCACCCTCTTCAAACTGATCACTCCACTGATGCTGTCTTCACAGCCACTGAAGATTCCTCCCGATCCCCAGATAGGACGGTCTTTTCTCCGGCCCCATGCTGCTTGAGCCGGCCATGGCGTCTGACACTGGGGACCTTGTGCTCTCCTTAGGGATCCTCTCCTCACTGGGCTTCCAGCAAATGCTTTCCCCCCCGGTTCTCCAGACTGTCTACCCACTCCTGCTCCAGTTTGTTGGCTGCTCATCACCTGCATCATGCCCCCTACATGTCCCTGAGACTTTGTCGCAGGCCCTTTTCTCTTCTCCCTCACTCGGTAACCTCCCCAGCCCCCGAGACGACCCCCATATCAAGAGATGCTACCCCTTCTCTCCTGACATCACCAAGTCTCAAATTCACATGTTCCAAAAAGATTCCCTCCTTTCCCCTCTCCCCAATTCAGTTGTCCCTCTTCCTAACTTCCCCGTGTCTGCTGAAGGTGCCCTCATCCTCTGCTCCCTCGTGTCCACATGTTCGGCATTATCACGAGAGCCCACCCTTCCATTTACGGAGCTAAGCAGGGGCCAGACGTGGCTACCTCCACCTCCACGACCTCTTTCATCAGACTCTTTCTCTCCACTCCTCACTGCTCAGCCAGGTGATTACCACAGCCTCCTATGCGGCCCCTCCCCACTCCAGCGTCCCCTACATGCTGCTATGAAAGCAACTTTCCTCTAACCAGATGTGACCATGTGCCTCTCCTCCCTCGCCCCCACCCTTCCCACCATCTCTTGTTCAGTCATGTCCAACTCTCCGTGACCCCTTCTGGGGTTTTCCTGGCAAAGATACAGGAGTGGTTTGCCATTTCCTTTTCCAGCTCATTTTACCTGAGGCAAACAGAGTTAGGTGGCTTGCTCAAGGTCACATAGCTAGTTAGGTGTCTGAGGCCAGATGTGAACTTAGGTCTTCCTGACTCCAGGCCTGGTGCTCTGTCCATGGCACCACCTAGCTGCCTACCAGCCCTACTAATTCCTTCTTGCCCCGAGGATAAAATACAAACTCTTCCATGTAGTCCATGACAAGCTTGCTCCAACCTGTCTTTTCAGCCCTGATGGACATCCCTCTGTGGTCTGGCCAGGCTGGTCTTTGGTTCTTCCCATACAACATGATCTCTTGTCTCCAGACCTTTGTCCCAGCTGTGCCAGATGCCTGAGCCAGGTTCTATCTACTTCCTCGGCCTCTCTTTCTTCAAGATGAGCTCAGGCTTCTCCTTCTGCACAAAGCCTCCCCTGACATCCATCCTTCCGTCCAAACTCCCTTGGATTTAGCAGCTCCCATTTATGCACACTGATTAACCTCCCACTTGTGCTGAATATGTAAGTCCTTGTTGTCTCCCCCTTGTGCCAAGGGGCTCATGCCCAGTGCCTGGTGGGGCCCAGCAAGCTGCGTAATCAATGCTGGCTGATTATCATTTTTGCTTTCCCCAGGGGCACGTAAGCTCCTTACAGGCAGGCTCTTTCGTTTCTGCCTGTGCCTCCTGTGCCTAGCACAGTGCCTGGGACACACGTGTTTAGGGCTACATAAAGACGTGTTGACCAAATGGCGGAGAGGCACTGCCCATATTCTTTCCAAGCTCAGCTTCCGTGGGACCTTGCCCGAAGCCCCCCAGGTGTTTGTGTCCTTGCTCCCCCTCCCCAAATCGCCAGTGTATGTATTTTGTCTTTATCTCTGCACTTGTTCTATTTTTCGAGCAGCATGTCCCTTATCCTTAAGTACGGCGACTATTTTGTCTTTGTCTTGAGGGCCTGGCATATAGTAGGTGCTTAATAAATGCTCATGGAATCGTACTGCTTTTGGATGTAGGCTTGTGTTGAGGCAAAAAACCCAGACCAGACGGCTTCTGGGGGTCCACCTCGCTTTACCGCCATGCTTGCAGTGTGGACAGCTGCGAGTATTTCCTCACACAGCCATGAATGTCCTTCCAAACCTTCCACAAGGCATGGGAGCCTGGCCATGCTTGCTAACCTTCGTGTGACTGTCAGGCTCCCACCATGGAACCCGGAGGTAACAGGAGATTTGGGCCCCCGCTCCAGGATATGGGGCAGTCTTCACTTCTCTTGTCTTGGGGTAACTGACCATCTCAGCAAAGTGATTTATCCACTGATTCTAAGACTTCAATTACTCCCTCAGCAGAGGTGGGCAGAACGGATTTCAGAAGCAAAAAGCAACAAGAGCTAATGATATTAAGAATGGGAAGAACCATTTGTCTTTACCGCTGAACTCAATAAGAACACGATTCCTGTGCTGGCCTCAAACCACAGAGTAAGGAAGATGCCTGGCATATCTCGGGCTCCATAAAATGAGTTACTGCCGTGAGGTGCCCAGAGGAGCTGGCAGAGTTGGAGTGGAGCACACACATTCTTATTCTGTCACTGTGCGGGTGGAGAATGCCTCACGGTGCCGGCACCTGGAGCGAGGAGGCCAGAGTCCTTCTATAAGGACAGACCAGCCACATCGAGGGAGTGATGAGCTCACACGGTTAGACAAGAGACCCCCATTAGTCCCATCTGTCCGCTTAGCTAGAGAGCTATCGCCACGGGACCAGGAGCTGGGGCCAGGAAGGACACGGGAGGACAAGATCAGCCGACTTGCAGAGATCCCAAAGATGCCAAGCTGTGTTCATCCTTGAAACATCAGTATTTTCCCAGGGATGTTCTACAGCCAAATAGAACAGCAGGACTTCTGAAGAGTCACAGCTGTGGGGGACACAGGGCACAACTTATAACCAACCAGGGCCCTGCAGAGTCCATGTAACTTTCCACCTCTCCCCCATTTTACAGATGAGGAAACTAAGGCCTAGAGCAGGAAAACTGCCCAGGTCTTAAGCAGCAAAGCCAGGATTTGGGCCCAGGGTTTCAGGCTCTGGAACTAGCACCCTTTCCCCTGCACCGTGCAAGACCACGTGTGGCTGGAGGAGGCAAATCAGCCCACGTATCAAGAATCAGAGATAATAATGGACAGCCAGAGGGTTGGGCTGGTATTCAAAAAATGAGTCCAAGAATGAGAAAAAGGCCCCTAGCCCCTGGGCAGACCCTCTGTGAAGAATTTATAGAAAATCATGGCCAAGATTCATACAGTCTGAGCAGGCAGAGAAGGCAGCTGGGATCTCCTTAGCCCAAGGAGATGTGGCTTCATTCATTCAATACTTTATACCGTAAGGCAGTACAAGGCACCTACAATGTAAACACAAGCTAGTTTTGGGGATGGACAGGTGCTGACAACTGGATGCATGTTGGGAGGTGGGAGGGTTAGAGCAAGAAAGACCTTGCCTACAGGTGGCCGGGCCTGGTAGAAAGCCAGAGGCAGAGCTGAGGAAGGTCTGGAGGACGGCCTGGAGGACGCCTATGCAAACGCATGAGGGTGGGAGACTAAGTGTCCTGCAAGGGCACGGGGGGCGGGGTCCAGACCTGGTTGGGACGGCGGTCCCCGGAGCAAGCACGCAGAACGAGAGGTGTATTCCTGGATAATGTAGGAATCTGCTTTGTTTGATGATGAATCTGTTAAGAGGGTTTTCTTTTCTTTTTTTTAATCATTGTTCAGCTGGGGGAATTGACGTTTAAAAAAGGAACCTCAAAAGGTGCTTGTTTAATGAACTGTCTTCATGGCTTTTGGGATATAGAAGAAAAAAAGCAAACCACTGAAGCTCACCAAACTACCACTGGCTTGGCTTTCTGGCTTTTGTTTTCTTTTTGTAGATCGAAAACGATATAAAGGAACATTAGAAACTACTTACCAAAAACTATCTGGGGCCCAAGCATTACTCAGACAACTGTCACTGGGCAGATTTAAGTCCAATGCCACGAAAGACAACACAAGATTGAAATAAAGGCTATCGTCATCGGGCATGACAGGCAACAGTAATGAGTATACATATAAGTAAAAGGTAAACACGAATAAGGAAAAATCATTTTCCCTCAAAGAACTGTGCCTCCGTCTGGGGCTGCAACATACACATTGTTAGACTGGACAAACGTAAATTAACCACGAGATCCTCGTCCAAGACGCTGAGACAAGACTGGAGGCCGTCCTGACACATTCAGAGGGAATGAGACCAAAGGGGCCTGACGAGCAGAGGGAAGGTTGTCTTTGGAGAAGCAGGTAAGGAAGCTGGTGGAGCTGGCATCGCCGTCCACCCAAAGCCGATCAACAACATTGTTTTATGGGATCCCTGGCTGTCTTTCAGCGCTCAGTAAGGACAGGCTGCAATGGAGGCAGCCGTAGCTCACGTCCCTCTCGGAGAGGGCCGAACACAGAAATTCTGTGAAGAACTTGACAAGATGCTACAAAGCAAAGCAATATGGACCTTTACATTTAGTAAATTCAATGAAAAAGTAGCCACAGGGGATGACGAAGAGAGAAGGAAAGTGCTGGACATGGCAAGCAACAGGAGGTGGGAGGGAGTGGAATGATTTTCAAGGTCTCTCCAAAGTGGGAAGATGTCAAAAGAATGGAGAAGATCAGAGCATTGTTAATAATGACGATGATGGCTCATGTTTACACAGAGCTTCAACACATGAAAGTACTTTCCACATATATGTGCTAACATACATGCGTGTGTGTATGTAGCACGACATATAATAATAGCAGCCCCCCTACTATAGCTGCTGTGAGGGTCAAAGGAAGTGAAGTGCACAGCACCTCACAAACCCTCAGGCACTACGGAAGTGCTAGCCATTACTGCTGGTATTGGTCATGAAGCAAGAGAAGGGGGGCAAGGGATGGCAGAGCCCAGAGGGTGCTCTGTTGTTTACCAAGAACCAGAAGACCCTGCAGCCTGAAGGGAGGTACTCTGTGGAGGAAATGGCAGGTAGAAATCCCTAGAACAAGAAGGCCCAGAGGGGCTGACACCTGCAATGCTGGATGGAAGTAGACATGACTATGGCACATTCATGGTACAAGGAGAAGACTGGTTTCTTTGGAGCAGAGAGTACACGTGATTTTGAGAGACAGTGGATACGTCAGGCAGAGGAGCTAAAGGCCAGATGCCATTTCAAGCAGGGAGCAGCTCCATAAGATGGGGTTTCATTAGTCTTAGATAGGAGAAGGCTTCCCAAGCACGTCCCTTGGGATAAGCCTGGGAGCCAGGATCACAGACAGCAGCGCTGGAAGGAACCACGGAAGTCATCTGGGCCCCAGTCGCCTTCACATTCAGCACCCTCCCTCCTGCTTTGGGTCCCTGGGCTCACCCACGTCAGTGAGAGGTCTCGTTTCTGGCCTGACACAGACCCTCGCACCGCAGCTCCTCCTGGTCCACCTTGGGCTGTGGTGCGGTGAAGATCCCCTCTCCAATCCACTCTCCACTCAGCTGCCAGAGTCATTTGCTTGGAGTAGGTTTGATTATGGCACCTACAGCCTCCTTACCCCACCCAATGCTCCTGCTCCAGGGGGTCCCTACTGATTCTCACATCAAATACTTCATCTCATCTTCTCATTTCTATTCTTTGCATAAAATGTGTAATATATATGATTGAGTACAGTACCACGTGCATCAAACTTATAACAAAGGGAACACCTACATGTAGAGGGGGTGCACATTCAGAAACGCTGATGCTCCCTCGCCCCCGCAAAAACAAAGGTCTGGAGAGCCATCTGGCATCGAACTTGCTACCTCTCCACGAGGGAGGCCGGATGGAGAGGGCTGAAGCTGCTTTGGTTCCTACACATCACAGTCTAAGGCACCAGAAGCAAACTGCAAGACTGAAGGAGTGGAGCCTTACCTTCCCCTCCCCTTAACTTCCCCCCTCCCCAGGGCCCAGGCGCAGAGCTCTGGAATTAGCAAGTTGTGTGTGCAATGCATGAATGCATGGAAGGGGACTGATGTAATGGATTTCCCAGCTAGAAGAGAAGACAGCTTTCCCTTCGGTTAAAAGCAAGGCTCTGTTTCCAAAGCCAGACGTTCCATCTTCTCTAGTCGCTTTCCCAACAAACCCAGGGAGCCCAGATGCAAAGACTCAGCAGGGCCAATGTAGAATCACTCTCCAGAAGCTCTATCTGCCTCTCCTGTCAAATCCCTCATGTTTCCTGCATTGTTTGCTGATTCTGATAAAGCACCACCCCCCATGATCCTTTTTCCAAAGGAAATCACCGCCTCCTGCCTCAAAGGCCGCAGCTCCAGGACCCAGGAGGGGAAGGAGGGAGGGATGTGGTGGTGCTCCCCTCCTTGGCACAGCCCTCTCCCCAGCCCTTCATATCCAAGAGCTACACAAAGGACTTGGGCATCTGTTTGCAAATCCAGGAAGAGCTGAGCATGACTCTAGGGGGCTCCTGAGGAGAGTAGACTGGGCTGGGGGCTGAGGGGGGGAGGTCCTGCTTTGGGGAGCAGCCGTCCCAAGCCACAGAGTTGGCAGAGGAGGTGAAGCCTTGCAAGAAATTTGCTTCTGGAGGCTTAGCTTCTAAACACCCAATCCTTTTGTGTGCAGACGCTCCCCTAGCCTTTGTAGGCCAATTAATTCGCCAGCTCAATTATTTGCATTAAGCAGGATAATTCTGGTAACTTCGATGTGGCCCCAGAGAGAGTGGCAGGAGAGTCACTCTGAGGCTTAGATTTCCTCACCAGTGTTACTTGAGGAACATTAAGAAAACAAACTCTAAAAGCCTGACCACAAAAAGTGGTCGGTGGCCACTGAGTCAAACCCTGTCTGTGAGCAGAAGATGCAGAGGCACAGGGATTCTGGCCCCCAACCCTCTCCCCCGCCCCCCTGAGGCCTGGTCCCTAAGCCCATGACCAGGAAAAGCCGGTAGAGTTCTGAGAGAAGCTGTGGGGGGAGAGGGGAAGGGACCAAGACAAGATTCTGTTATGGCAGAGGAAGCTCAGGGCAAGTGTCCCATGCTTCCCAGCTGGCTTCCTGCACAAGGTGGATCTAGGCTAAAGGGAGGCCCAAGCAGAGATGCTGAGGCCTGAGGGAGATGAAGGGGGTACAAGGAACAAGGCCAGTGACTGACAGGCTGTGAGGAGGGAGGATGCTGCTCAAGAAGAGGAAGGAATAAGGCCAGAAGAGGAGGAGGCTAGGGAGGGAGGTGATCAGGATGAAGGAAAGGGAGGATGTAGGGACGGCAGGGCTCTTCTAAGTACCATTCTTTGAGGATACAACCTGAAGGGACCTGATGGTGGGGGAGAAAAGGAGGCGAGTGGAGACTGCCCACGAAGGCTGGCTTAAACAGAGCCCAAGCCAAGGCACAGAACTGGGGGGCGCCGGAGCAGAGGCACTGGGGGCCCTGACGAGGGCACCTTCAAGGAAACAGGGACCCGGTCACACCTGGTGGAGAATAAGGTGGGGCCTTATCTAAGTTGCATGTTTAAAATGGCAGTAAAAGCAAAGCAAGCCTGGGACCATGGGCCTTTCCTGCTCTGAGTCACGAGCTGCTCCGGCCCATCTATAGGACACTAATGAGGTCTGACCAGCAGGCTAGATGGGAGATGCTCACTGGCAACCCACCTCAGACCACTGCGCCCTACGGGACATTCTGATTTTTAAGGTCACTTTCCAATTCAGGCAACTTCCAGCAACTCTCAGATCGAATAGAGGAGACAAGCCGGTGCTGCCTGGGGTCCAATTCCACCCCTGCTCCTCCATCCAGACTATTTAAAAATCAGCCTTAGCAGAAGAGGCGAGAGAAGGCAGTCTAAATCATGTCTGTGATACAGTCATGTATGGTGAGTCCAAACGCATGAACTCTGTGCCCATTCTGACATGGGATGCTTCTGACAGTGCTGGCCTAGGACCTGAGGAGGGTTCTGGGTTTGAATCTTGCCTCTTACCACCCCCACCTGGGTGACTGACCACGGGCAGAGCTCATCCCTCTGAGGCCAGGGGGTGGGGAGGGCCACAGGAGCTCCTGTAGGGGAGCACTTCCTAAACCAGGTAACTGTGGCCAGCAGCAGGGTGGCAACCCTGCTGAGGGAGGCCTTTGCAGTGGGACACGACATGTGGTGACTTGCCAGGTGCAGCCAGGTTCCCCCCGGAACGGCAGAGACAAAACCCTCTCTGCTGATCTGCCCGAGCCGGAAGTGGCCCTATCAGCGTAGACTGAGGGAGCAACACACATACCTCGGGTCAAGCAGGCTCCTCAGAAACTGGAAAAGCAGAAATGGATTCTGGGAGGGAAACAAACAAAAAACCCAGAACGAGCATTAAAACCAGGGACGTGATCAGGCAGGCAGCCAGCAAAAACTCAGAGAGTGCTCCACCACGAAGCTGGCCCTGTGAGGCAGGCCTGTTAGGTGCCGGCGCTGACGAGCTCACCTCCACCCCTGCAGAGACCGAGCTGCCGGAAGCTCTTGGGGATCCGGCCCTGTCCCCTGAGCTCCCAGGCAGCTTAGAAAGAAAACACAGTAAGGCATCACTTCCTCACTTCCTGCTGTGGTGAATCCTGCTTGGCCAGATCAGAGAAGGCTGGTGCCCAGTGCCCAGTAGGGCCCAATGGATTCATCTCCGCTCAGGCACCAGCAGCATCGCCCCATCTTGCTGGGCCAAGAGGTGCATGACTGTATTACAGCAGGACTGATGGGGGGGTGCAGTCAGTGCCCCTGAAGGGAGTAAAGCTAAGCCAAAGGCCCTGCTCAGTGACTGAAGGCAGACCCCTCCCCATGGCTGGGGACTGGTCCTAGGTTACCACAATCAGCACATGACTGCCAGGGCCCTAGGAAGGCCCGGCAGAAAGCCTTTTGGCTGGTTTGCTGGTTTTCTCTTGGACACAGGCAAAGGCCCCCCAGAAGGCCTCAGGGAGAGGGTTCCTGCCCAAGTGTTAACCTGTCCCTAGTGGGTGGCACTGAGCTGTCTTATCAGACAGAATTGGGGGTCTGGCTGTTGCCTGCTGTCCTGGTGGAAGGCAGCTTGGAGGGTTCTGGGGGCACCAGGGCCCAGAATGGGCATGAAGGGGTGTGGGGACAGGCTTGGCAAGTTCCCTCAGGGTGGCTGTGGGGGGGAAAACTTCTGGGCTGATGGAGGGCAGGCCTACTCTGCTGAGATCACAGCCCTTCAGAGGCACTACTCCAAGGGCAACATCCCATGTTCACATCCAGCCCCATGAAGAAAGGAGAGCTGGAGATGTCAACAGAAGTACACGGGACACAGTGCAGGAATCTGCAGGCCTTCTCAGACAGACAAATGGCTTTCCTCTGAGGACCACAAAGCACCTGGGCACCAGCATGACCTCGGTCGAAGGAGCCCAGGAACTGAAAAAGAGTCAATTCCCTAAAAATGAGAGGGTCAGACTAGATCAGGGGCTCCTAACCTTAGGCCAGAGACCCGTCCCCCAAGAGGTTTGTGGATAAATTTCTGGGGGTCTAGGAGTTTGGATGGGGAAAAAATGGCATCTTGATTTTTACTAATTTCTAACTGGAACTGAGTGTGAGATGAGGTCCCTAAATTTGCCCCAGACCCTGCCCAAGGGGGCCACCCTGTAGAAAGGCTAAGAGCCCTTGGACAAGCTAGCTGTCATGTACTTGACTGCCCTGCCCCAAAAGACACACCTTCCTTCAGCAGCTGGTGTTCAAGGTGAGGTCTGAGGAAGCCCAGAAATCACAACCGCCACGAGGCTTCGATCTGCCCAGGGCCCCCTCCCTCTCCCTCTCAGGGAGGTACCATACTTACCTGGAGTTTGTGAATGATGGCCTCAACCTGCCCAGAGAAGTGGGTGGCCACCAGCTCTGCTGCCTTGCAGGGATTCAGAGCCACAAGCTCCTGGAGAAAGACAGAAAACGCTCAGTGTCACCTGAAGTTTTACAGCTGAAAAATCCTTCACAAGCCAGAGGTCTGAGCCCATCCTGTAGCCAGGGGTGAGCTGCGCAGAGGACGGCCAGAGACCCCCAGGCATGCCGACCTGGGCAGGAGACCCAGAAGGCAGCAGAGGAAGCCAGGGAAGCTGAGAGGTCCAGGGAGGGGCTCAAGCTTCGACTTCTCTGAGAACAGCTGAAACCTGAGCAGAAGCAAGAAAACTGGTTGTCCTCCCCCCGGTGTAGCTCATGGGATCCCAGGGTCACAGACTGGAAGCAAAACAATCCTGAGGGTTCACCTCACACCCAACCAGTTGGGAGAGGTGAAGAAAGATGGGGTAGATAACACTGGAAGGGCTGAAAACAGGCACACTAATGCATTGTTAGTGGACCTGTGATCTGGGCCAACCATTTTGGAAAATAACAAGGCATCTACCATGTCTGCAAAGTGGGCCTCAGGATTAAGGCTGGCCAAGAAGGTCACACCCAACAGCCACAAAGAACAGCAAACAAAGTCCGCAGCAGTGGACTGTTACTCTACAGTATGAAAAAGGGATTATGATGAACACAGAGGCATATGGGAAATGAACGGATGCAGGGCAAGGAAAGCAAAGAATCCACTGCCTGCCCCAGCACAACTGACACGCCGCGCTGTGAACGTGAGGGTGACGAGGCACGAGCCACCCTTCTCTCCTGCAGAGGATGCAGGCTTCGGAGAGGAGGCGGTCACTGCTGTCCAGGAGACGAGGGACAGATTGGGAAAGGCAGGTCATGTCAAAACCGATGACTTCAACAACATTTGTCTGTAAAGATTTTGAGCCAGAAGGGACCTTCAAGGTCACTGGGTGCAGCCCCCTCATCTTACAGATGCACAAACTGAGATGCGGGGAGGTGAGTGACTTGGCCAAGGTCACACAGGTGAGTGGTAGAAGCGGGAGCAGACAGAAAATGAAGGAAACAGAAACAAGACAAAAGGAAAGGCAGCTCAATTACATTAATTCATTCAACAAACCCTTCCTGAGCACAACAGAGGTAACTACTCCAAGGTCCCTGCTGTAAAGGAGATCATTTCGGGAGACCTTCCTGGAGGAGGCAGCCCTGGGACAAGGGAAGGCTGACCCTACCAGGCGTAGGTAGAACCAGGACAGAAAGGAGATGAGGCCTGGTCAACAGGATGTTCTATGGGCCTGGAGACAGCTGTCGAGAGGCCACGGCTCCTGTGACGTGGCCATGACACAAAGCAGGGGTGGACAGTGCTGAAGGCTTAGGAATCCCTTTGGAGATGAGCGGGGTAAGCATTAGGGTCTTCGAGGGTGCTAAGGGACCTATCCGTGTTCAGCTGCCACATAAAGGGCTCTGGGTTGGAATAAACAAATCTCCACTCACTAGGCCAAGGGGCCAGGTCTTGTCCTTTAGAACTGACTAGGAACCAAGGCACAGTCGCTGAGCCAACCGCGACAGGGCCCTGCTGGTTGGCAGAAGCTCGGCACTTCTGGAGAAAAAGGCCAGGGAACCAGGGCCTCTCCAAGGTCAGGATGAGTCAATGGTGAACATTTCTGAGCAAGAGCCAAGGAAGCACAGGGTGCAGATCCAGGGGGAGGGGGCAGCCTTGTCCTCGGCCCTCTGGGCCACAGCTGAGGAAGAACTCATTGGTCAAGAAAGCCGGGCACACAAAGACCATAGGAAGGAATGGGGAGAAAAGGGCACTGGGAGGGCCACAGAAGGGCCGAGAAGAGACCTTCGACCCGCTTTCCTCGGCACCAGCTTGTTCTAGTGAAGATCGTGGTGAGGACCCGGCTTTGCCAACGTGGGATGGATGACGTGGAGGAGCAGGAGGCTCGCCCGCCACAACAGCAGCAGATCCCTGACTGGGATGTCCTGTGCAGGCCCAGGTGGACTGGACACCACATCAGACACCTTCCATCCCCACTGGTTTTTGGCACTTTGGAGGCAGGAAAGCACGGTGTGCTTGAAAACTGGTACATGGTCCACTTAGACCAAAGTACTAGATGTGGGAAAGGGAAGAGGAGGAGCCGGCATGAAGATACAGGCTGTGGCTAGGGACAGTAAAACCACGGCAGGTTTCTAAGGAGGAGGGGAACATAATTAAAGCTACTTTTAGGGATAGCAGTCAGGCAACAGGGGGCTGGGAAGGATGCAGGAGAAGAGAGATGGGGGGGCAGGGAAAGCGGAGGAGCAGCCAGGCGCTGGACGTGACAGGCACTGTGGGCTGGGGGAGCGAAAGGAGACAGGGAGAGGCAGAGATGAAGTCACGACTTCAAGCCTGGGAGACGACGTACCCCAGGGATGCCCCTGGGAAAGCAGGGCCAGCGCTAAGAAGGAAGGGTGGGGTCTCTGCTGCAGAACCGGGAGTCACCCCAGAAGACATGGTTAGTGAAGCCATGGGAGTGAAGAAAGAGTGAGGAAGGAGCAGGAGGGCAGGGCCAAGAAGTCAAGGAGGATGAAGCTTGAGAAAAGGCCACTAGACGGGGTGACCAAGAGGATGTCATCAGTGACTTTTGGGAGAGAGAGAGAGAGATGCTGGATCGCCAGGGAACGAGCAGATGGCAGAAAGCAGAGGCAGCAAGCTCAGGTGTCCTTGAGCAACACGGTAATTAGCAGCAGATGGGGGAAGGAGGACACACGGAGGGCATTCCTGCGCCATGGGACGGGGTCTGAGCACGCTTCAGACAAAGGCAGAGCTGCTAGCAGACTAGAGCCCCTCAGAGAACATGGCAGACACTCGTGTGTTGGGAGGGTGACTGGCGGAGCAGACAAGCAGGGATTTTGGGGAGGAAAAAAGGAGGCATAAGTCTCAAAGGGCAGGAAGGGCCCTTCCCTTTGTCCACCTGGATGAAACGAGAAGCTGGCTGAAGACACTCAGCTGCCTTGAAGATGGCAAAGAGGAGCAATGCGGTTGGATGCTGTGGTCCTGCCTGAATGATGGGGAGGCGTTTCTTATGGGCTCACTGGGTCCTGGGTGCCATATGCAGGAGGCGAGGTTGAGGGCCCGGGGATGGTGGGGTACAGCTAGTGGAGCTGCTCTGAGGACACCAGGGCGGGTACGGCAGGAGCGGAAGGACAGAGGATCAGATGAGCCAGCCTGGGGTGGGAAGCGTGGACTGGGCGGCCAGTGTCAGGTGGGGAGACAAGACCCAGGACCAAGGGGTGACGGCCCGGGAGGTCAGAGAAGGGGGCGCCGAGGAGAAGATCAGGATAACAGGGCTCGTTATCATCAAATACTTTTGTACAGCTGAAGGTTTGCTGTCTTTTCAACAGCCCCGGGAGGAAGGCAGTGCAAGGATTATCGTCATTTCAGAGACTGGGAAACCAAGGCGTGGAGAGCCGTGACCGCCTGACTCTAAGCCTGGGGCAGGATTTGTACTCGGCCCGCCTGATTCCAAATCCAGCGCTCTACCTACGAGGCCACACTCCCTCTCCTTCTGATGGGCTCAATTCTGAGGGACTGCAGCTGCCTCGGTGGGTACAAGACGTGAGGAGGGGAGGACAACACCTGGGGCTTGGGAGCCGAGTCCAGGACATCAGAAAGGCTCCCAGCATGGACACGTGACAAGGACGGCAGGAGATCGGCCCCGGCTGGTGCTCAGGCCCCTGCAGAAGGCAGAGGGTCCATGCTGACAACGGCTGGATGACGGGGGCTTTGTGACAGCTTCCATTCGGAGGCAGTGAAGCAGCCCTTTGGACAAAGCGCTGGCCTTACTGGGCATCAAGAGTATCTGATTCAAATCCTGCCTCAGACACTAGTGTGACCTTGGGCAAATCATTTAGCCTCTCTCAGACCCAGTTTCTTCATCTGTAAAATGGGGATAATACTAGACCATCCCTCCCTGGGCTGTCACGAGGGCCAAATAAAATTTTAAATATCACGATATAAATAAATGCTAGTGATTTAAGCGTGCTTGCTGTTAAGGGATTGTGGGAACAATGATCTGGAGGGGCAGGGGACCATGGAGTTGTGTGAACCCTCTTGCCTGACCTGTGAGCTGGGAGGATTGTCACCCAGAACCCTTCAGCGGCAGAGAGCTGTGGGAGAGGCAATCTCTGCCACCTGGGGACAGCTGGGTTTCAGCTGCGGTGACCAGCATTCATGGAAATGGGTGGGGCTCCGCGGGAGGCTCCAGGGACCCCAATGGAAGATGGCAGGAAGAGAGGCAGAGGCTGGGCAGGGGGTTTGGCAGGGGTGGGAGACAAGGCCTGGGGTGGAAACTGTGGCTAGCTGGGGTCAGCAAAGAAGGGACTGCGATGTAAGGGAGAAGGAAGCAGGGAGGAAGGTGCTAGACTGAACTCTGCTGCTCTAGAGCACGCAGGAATTCCCCGGGCTTCTGAATCCTAACTGGGCTGGCGCCGTCCAGGGGTAGCCTGGGAAACTGGCTTTTTGGGGGGCTGGACTTTGCAGAGAAGAAGAGTGACTGCTCACCTGGAAGTGGTTTGTTTGGCAGCAGAGCTGTCTGCTGGGGAGTCCTGCCTTTGAGGGCTGCACGAGCCTCTGCAAATACAGCTCCAGAAGTGCTGGCATTATGGGGTGCTAACCTGGCAGGCCGGTCTCCCTCCTCAGGGCTGAGCCCTGTGGGCTTTGTGAGAGCCTGCTTCATCTCCTCGCCCCCTCCTCAGAGGGCTCCAGGGAAGCCTCCACCGGCCCCTCCACGCAGTGGGGGGTCTCAGCTCTCTGTCCCCGAAAACCATCCGTCCTCAGCGGCTGCCTCATCTTCCACCCGGATGAGGATGGCTCAGACGGCCCATCTCTCCCTTCTCTCCCCACTTAGCTTTCCCGCTAACAACACGCACTAACAAGTAGAGGCCTCACTTCATCACCGTCCTCCTTGGCACCTTTTCCGTGTCTAATCAGCTTCACAATCTTCTGCCTGGGGCTGGCTCTGAGTCTCTGCAGTGGGGCCTGAATAAAAGAGGCTCTGCAGGGAGCTACGGTTGACTTTGGACAGACCCTTCCCAACCTGGCCCTGCCCCACCTTTTCAACTTCGTGTCCTGCTACTCTGCCAGAAGCCAGCCTCTTTTCCTCAGTCAGGCCCCTCCACATCCCCCCTCCACACTTTTACTCTTGCTGTTCCAGACGCCTGAAGCCTTGGGCAAATCCTGCTCATGTGACAGCCCGGGTTCAGTCCCATTTCTTTCATGAACCAGGCACAGCACACAGTAGGGAGTGCTAAACATGCCTGCTATGTGCAGAACACTAGGAGGAGTAGGCCTTTGGGTGGGAATGACTTTGTTTTCCTCTTTTTCCTTTCAGGGAGGTTAGTAGGAGGGAGAGACAACAAAAGCTGCTGACAAAATGATGGAACTCAATGGCAGACCAGACCCAGTGAACCGGGGCAGCTGACCGGCCTCCGTGGCCTCTCCGGACTTAGCAGCAAGGCCGCCATGCTGGCAGGAGGGCTGAGCTGACCTGGATGCTGCCCAGAGAACGAGGCTTTGGACTTAGCAGCAAGGCCGCCATGCTGGCAGGAGGGCTGAGCTGACCTGTGCTGGGTGTGGCTAAACAGTGTTTCTGGAATCCACCGGGGGAAGCCCAGGAAGCCGGGCCAGGGACCCCGACACTTCTTAGCCAAACCTCATCCCGTGCCCCGGCGACTACTCGCTCTGTGTACCCGCCTCACTTTTAGGACACGTATGCATCTAAAAATCCAGCCCCAACTTTGGGAAATGGGAACCTGATGTTTCAGATTGCCCTCGTGTGCGCACAGAACCCAGGCTGAATAAAGGGGTCTTACGCCTACTTCCCCTCCGCCACAAAGGCCTGGTATCACCCTCCTCGTGGCTTCTGCCCCCAGAGATCTCACAGCCACTGACCGTTCTTAAGGCCCTGGTAATTAATAAGGTCTTGGTTAAATAAGTCTGAGCAGCATCGAATGACATGGAAAAGCTTAAAGGTGAAAAAAAGTGCAGATTGAGGAGAAAACAAAATAGCCAGTTAGCAGAAATAACCGAGGTGCAGAAGAAGCAGTGTCTGCTTCTCCAGCACCAGCTTTTTGCTGAGGAATTAGTTTTCTCGGCGATTAATTCATCTCAAGTCACATTAGCCATAAAACAGAGGTCCCTCCTTCATTCCAGACACCGCAGCCCCCACTGCCAGTTTGCTAGCACAGATAGCGGGGCCTGTGGCTCACAGAGCAAGTCATCCCAAAGGAACCTGCAGCGCAGCAAAAAGGCTGCTGGATGCAAAGAGGGGGACTGGAGCGTGAACTCACTTAGTGATAAAAACAATCATATGGCTGGCTCACAACCCCTTTTCTCGGGAAAGCATCATAGCCCACAGGCTGACGCCCCACACTGGGGGTAGGAAGACTAGAATCAGATTCTACCCTTGAGCAAGGAACTCACTTAACCTGTCTGGGACTCTGTTTGCCAATCTGCATAACTGGGGTAATAGCAGCACCCATTCGCTAGGGCTATTGGGACAATCAGACGAGAAAACACTCATAAAGTGCTCTGCAAACCTTAAAGCCCCACCTAAGTATCATCAACATCGTCATCATCAATACTTGTAGAAACCCTGTGAGAGGGCGGTCAAAGAATTCTCGTGCCTATTTTATAGACGTAGAAAATGAGGCTAGTAAGAGGTAGGGACAGGACCTGAACCCAGACCTGGCTCTTCCTATGGGCCACTTCTCGTCTGGAGGGACCAGGGCCTTGTTGGGTCTCTGTGGCCAGAGCTCCAGTGGCTCTTCCTGTCCTAAAGAAGTATGCTTTCTTTTCTCTCCATGCTGGCCCCTAGCTCAGAGAGGACAAGTGAAAGTGGGGCAGCTGCTTGCCTCCCCCCACCAATGCATCCCCCAAGAGGCTGCTCACACGTCTGTCTGACCTTTGGTCTCAGACGGTCTCTGGGCCCTTGCTCGGATGTGACACTCTTCTGAAGCATTGGGGCTGACTCGTCCCCAGGGACAGCCCTCCTGCTCCGAAGGAAGACTGGACAGTTCTCTTCAAATATGTCCCCTGAGGACGTCCTCATCCCTGGCCCCAACTGCCCCAAGAGCATAAGGAGCTGAGGAGAGCCTTACTCCTGAAGACAGGCCTCATCTGACATCTTTGCTGAGGAAGGTAAGGATGGTGCACCACGGAGCAAGGCTCTGGAGACTTCCGAGGCACCTGAGCTTCTGAGCCCTCAACAACTGACTGCAAGACTTCTTACCACCTGTCAGTGGCAATCAGCTTTCTGGTTTTTGGGGTCCCAGTGAAGGTCAGGAAGCTTCTCAGACCCCCCCCCCATCTCCCAGGAAGATGCTGCTCGAAGGGAGCTCCCTCAACTGAAAAAACACTTGGTAGTCAAGTTCCTGTGTGCCTGGGCCAGGGAAGGGGACACTAGGAAAAACCCAAATTTGTGACTCCTCTTCTCAGCAAGGTCAGAGAAATGGCCCCATGGAAAAGAAACCCACCAAGTAGAGGAAGGCACATTGCCCTTTGGGTCAAGGCTTCATGAGCTGCCTGAGGGAGAGGTGGGGATGACTTCCATGTTTATTCACAAAGATGATCTGGAGGCCAACAGGGACCTGGGAAAGAAGTGTGTGGGTATCCAGGGTAGTGCACAGGGACAAATAATTCTGGCTTTGTAAAGGACATATGAGTGACCTGGAGAGCGTGCCAGCAAATGGAGAAGATGTGATAGAATGAAATTTGCCAAGATGAAGTGGAATGAGTGAAGACAAACACACACACAAAAAGCCCTGGGGGAGCGGGCTGCCGCTGACCCCAATTGCGGCCAGGCCTTACCTCAATGTGCAGCATGGCCTTCTGCCACACGGACTGCTTCTCCTCTGGGCTGTGCCCAGGAATGGACAGGATGTTATGAATGTAGTTAAACACCTCTTCCTGAAAGGGGCAGAAAGAACCTGGATGAGTTCTACGAAATACCTGCCAAAACTTAGGTCACGGCGTCCCCTTTGGTGACTTGTCTCTCCCCCTCTGCCGCCAAAGGATTTCTGTGAAGGGCAGATCTGATCACGACAGCCCCCAAATGCTGGCATCCCCGCTATCTCCAGGGTCAAAACTCGCTTTCACCACCTGGCCCCCTTCCTTCTTTTCTGGTATTACTGATTCCCTCCCCCCATGCTATAATCCAGCACTGCCTTTCTATCGCTTCCTCATCCACAAAGCTACATCTCTGACCTCCAGGCCTTTGCCCTGCCTGCTCACCATACCAGGGATGGAGCTCTGGAATGGCACACTTCCGGCCAGAGCAGTCAGAGGCCTGGAAGCCATGGAGAGAGGCTTTCAGCACAAGCCTGGGCACAGACAGCTCATGTGTCTGAGAGCCAAGCACCAGCCTCGGCTGGGAGAGCTGATCATCAGCAGGGCTGCAAACAATGAGGAAATGTCTGGGCCACAGAATATGCTGAGATCGTCTGCAGAGGGGCTGCAATCAGCGTTGGTGTAGGGAGCACCCTCATTCAGGAACTCTTGGCGCCCGAAGTATGGTGGGAGATGGTGTGACATGGGAAAGTTCGTTCCATGTTAGAGGAACAGCCCGAGGCCCCCAGGAGGTCCCGACAGCTGAATGACTGACTCTACCTGCCTGAGTGAGGAGGAGATATTGTCCAAGGAAATAAAGGCTTGGGAGAGAAGGACGCAGAAGCCCCTCTTTGCTCACCTCTCTCAGCGGGTCCCGGAGGTAGCAGTCAATAATCCTGTCATACTGGTGTTCTCGTTCATACATAAACTCACAAATCTGGTAGCTGACGACAAGAGAAGAGGCCAGTGGGTCCAGTGGCCAGAGGACACTGGCTGCATAGGGTGGGGCAAGGGACAAGGGACGGGACAGGCAGGGGGATTCCTTTGGTTAAATGCAGCAGTGGCTGTTATCAGAGAGCCCTGCTCAGTTCTACCCAAAGGGCAACACGTGGCCTCGGAATGGGGACCTGTGTGGGCAAAAGCAGCTGGGCAGGTCTCACGGAAAGTGAGGACAGGACCTCCATCCACTAATGGCACCCAGAGCCTTCCAGTGAGCCTCCTCTCAAAGGATCAAAGTTGGGGAGGGGAGGGGCAACATTTTACAAATGAGGCAGATACAAATGGCAGGTTAGAATGTCTGCCTTAGGGTCTGCTTTATTAGCAGCATGGTCCTTGGACAGAGTGCCAGCCTGGGAGTGTTCGAGAAGACCTGGGTGCAAGAGCTGTTTTTGACATAATGGCCAACACTGTGTTGAAGGAAACAAAGAGCTGTAACCTGGGTAGATTTCTCAGTCCCCCACGTGGGTCACTAAGATTATAAATATCAGCGAAGGGAGGTTCTGTACCAGGGGCCCCCAGTGCTGATGAAACCACAGGTCTGGACTCCTCCTTGCCAAAATTAAGTTGCAGTCACTCCTGAGAGTGATCATGGAATTTATGGTAAGTGCCAAGGAAACATCGGGCAGAGATTTTATTTAACACGGGCATAGAATTCATTCCACCCGGAGGCTATCTGACCTTTAGGCCCACGTGGATGTGCCGGGGGCCCTTGGCTCTAGCTATATTTGAGGCCAGGAACTTCGAGCTGCTCGGACATTTCTGAACAAAGGGGCTGCAGCTTTACACTTATTATAAAGAATCAGTGGGGCAGTAATAGAATGTGCTTCAAGCCGGGGACCAGGTGCTAACGTGGCCTTGGTGTGACTCACAACTCGGCTCTCTCTGCCATCCGGATGAGCCGGCTCTCCTCAAACTGCACAATCCCTCCAGCCTGGAGCAATTCGAGGAGGACCTGGAGACGTACAAAGAACAGTCAACACTTTCACTCTGATTTTTCTTCCTTCCCCCTTTGAAAGCTCTGAAGGGGGTAGAGGGCAGCCCATGGAGAAGACCATGAATCCAGGAAGGGCCATGGAAGGACAGAGTTATTCAGCTTCTGGCTTGCTTTTCCAGATACAAGGTAAAAGAGATCTCAGGCCCAAGACCATAATGTTGACAGAATATATCTCAGTTAAAAATTCAGAAACTGCAATGAGCCCCTCCTTTGGTTTTGTAAGGATAACTTGTGGAGAAGGCCCAGCTGGACAGATCTGCACACTTTGGGACGTGACCCTAGCTGCAAATTACCCTGGCCCAGCCAGCCCATGAGGCCAGCACTCCACTAGACTGGCTTTCCAGGGAACTAAAAATACCACTGGACACCATACTCTTCCAAAAGCAGATTTATTCCAAGTGTCCTCTGCCTTCTTGTGACCCAGCAAGCCCTGGGTGAGTGTGGACTCTGCTTTCTAAAAAGATGGGACGCAGAGACTCCACTGCAGTCCTTAGTATGAGAATTAAGAAGAGACTGAGAGTGAGTGCTGACCCACTGCCTAATGAAGGGCTGTCTTTAGACAGACCTCATCCACTACCACGGTCCTGCTGTTGAGCAAGTCACTCCTCGGGCCTGGGACACTGCCGTTGTGGGACGTGGCGCCATCCTCCGTGGCAGACACAAAGCCCTCTCCAAACAATCCTCTGAAGGCCTTTCCCTCTTGGATTAACCACGCAGCCCTACACTGGCTGGCTATGACACCCATGATGTGGGTGTGGGAGGCACGTCCCCTGGGAGCCGTCCAAGGATCTGGGTGCCAGTTCTGACCACCACTTCCTAGTTTTATGCCCTTGGGTCAGACAAGACGCCCTTGTAGTGCTCATATCTCTTCTTCCAGGCTAGCTTCACGTTTTCTGTTTGTCATTTCTTCCCGAGTTGCTTCCTCCCAAGTGCCTGAGCTCCCCACCCCTCCAGCCCCATGTCTCCCCAAGGAGGCTGCAAGGGAGCCTGAGGGGGCATGTGAAGAGGGGTAACTCTAGGTCTTGTGTGTCTCCCTAACCCCCAACCCATTGTTGGCTTCATGGGCCCTCACGAAAAATCTCCATTTAACATAAAAAGTTCTCCACTCGCTTCTTTGAAGTGAGACAAGCAGGTCTGCATTGGTGGTGGGAGACTCCATACTAGAAGCTCCCTACAATGAAGAAATCACAGATCTGGACCAAAAATTCAAAGGCAGAAAGCAGAGCCTGAGCCCTGCAGAGCTGACCATGAGAGGCCTGCCGAGCTCTGTCCTTCCAAAGGCCTGGGGATGTACAGACGGAGGGGGGGCTCTGACCTCCAAGCCTGCTGGACAAATGCTGCCGCCACCCTTTCCCCCATTTCTGACAGGTCACTGGAATGACCCAGGTCAACCTGAGCCCCTCGGCACCTCCCTTCCTCTCAGCTCCCTCAGCTAAAGCCAAGACTGCCTCTGGTTATCATCTTCCTTCTTGAGTTCAGTTAGGGAACATTCCGGAGTCCTACCTGCTGCCTCTCCGCGTGCCGAGAGTCGTCATCAGGGCTGCAGAGGAACTCGAGAACCTGGCCCAAAAGAAGACACCTTCACTGGAGCCCGCCCATAGCCCGTGATGCCACAGTGCTCGGAGGAGTCCGTAACCGGCTGCCGGTCCCCCTCCCCCCACCTCCTGCTGGCCTCTGCTCCGGGTACAGTACGTGCCCGCCTCTCCACTTCAAGCCCAAGAGGAGCAGGCCTGCTTCGTGCTGACAATGTCATCGGTATCTGAATCGCGCTTTCCCTGCAGTTTGGAAACATGCTGAAGTAGGACGAAGAGCAAGGGCTTCCTGAATCTGACGGGCAGGCGCAGGGCGCCTCGGAGATGCAGGGGCTGCCCAGGTCCCGCCTCTGACGTCGCTCCTCTTTCCCCATGTCTCCATCTCTGAAAAGCACCGGCCAGGACCGAGTCCCGCCAGGGAAAGCTCCTGTTCCCAGAAGCACCACTGCCAGCCCTAGCACTGATCTACACTGACCCTCCCACCACAACTCGCTTGTCCAGTCCCACGTCACATCAAGGAGCGTGGCCCGCGAGCAGCTCGGGAGGCTGACGAAGAAAGATGCCAGTGCCCCGCTGGCTCCAGCGGTCAGACTCACGCACCTGGTCAAACAGCGTCCTGTTCACAAAGAGCGTGTTGTCGGGCTTGGCGAGCTGTCGGGCAAGGAAGGTGAAGAGGCACCCGACTTGGGAAGGAGTGAAATCTGAATTTTCCACCATGACCTGATGAGTGAAAGGACCACATGTGTTCAATATGCCACCCGGCTCGACACAAATAACAAATTAGAAAGGGAAGGCTGCCTCATTGCTGGAGACCACCACAGTGGCAAGCAGAAAAAGGCTGCATCCGCTAAGTGCTACACATGTTTTTAGCCTTAAGTCTATAATACCATGAGCCTAGAAAAGAAGGCAGCCAACCCAAGCAAGTGTGAGATGGGGAAGGGACCTTGAAGTGAGTGGGTGCGGACCAGCCCCCACCACTCACTCTGTCCATTAGCTGGCCGAGGGCCCAGACCGTACCTTGGCTTTGCCAGCCACCTCCCCGCAGCATCTCACCATCAGCCCGCCACTGGGAGCGGCTTTAGTGCTACAATCATCAGTCTGGGTGGGCTGCCATGTCTTAGCCACAGAACAGTGTCAAATTCCCTCTTTGTAGCCAAGACCCAAAGGTAAAACGAAGGAAACGTTCTTCCATTAAGGACATATGTGTGTGCGTCCCAGCCTCCCCCATTTTCTTCCTTCTCCACTGGTACCCTCTTTTCTCAGCAAGGCCCATCAATGGGATACACCCAACTTTGCTCCTGGTTGGGTTATATGAATGCTCTTCTTCCTTTATTAAGTGGAGTATCGGAGTGTCAGAGTATTGGATAATTACTCCTGATGGAAGCCCGACATTGCTAAGTTTGGGGGGAGGCTCGTAAGCCTCTCACTTATTTTTCTAACCCATTAAAGCAATTTGATGGAAGAGCCCAAGGCAGTTTGGTCCTGGGCCTGGCCACTAACTAGCAATATCACTTTTGACAGTCATCTAACATCTGAACCTTCATTTTCTCATCTGTAAAATGAGGGGTTAGATTAGATGAGCCTCATGGTCCCTGCCAGCCATGAGGCCTGGGATTGCTGTGAAGGTTAATGCTTTGGCTGCCTTTGAGCAACAGATGAGGGCTGGACTTAGGAGTCACAGGGTCTAAGTTCAAATCCTGCTACTGCCATTTCCTCCCTGGGTGACTTTGGGCCAGTCACTGGACCTCTCTGGCCTCAGTTTCTTCATCTGTAAAGTGAGAGCACTGGACTCAATGGTCTCTGAGCTCCCTCCCAGCTCTGCATCAGTGACCCTATGATCTAGGCCCAGTTTGGGCCTGCCAGGGGTCTCTCTATCACTGGCCGGGCTCCAAAGTGTTCCTGGCGTTTCCATCTGTCCTATCTCAGCTTATTACACGTGTGTGTGAGGAATGATTATTAATAACCCAACCTTGCACAGCATTTAATCTAGGGTGGGGTCTACTCAAGCTTCAATGGAGACTACAATGATTAAATTACCCAGAAACTATATCTCTTGAACCTTTTTTAATGTCACATATGAGTCCTTCCAGATGATTCTCTTTCCTTTAGGAAAATAAGCAAAAAAGCAGGTAATCTTCACCTGCCTGAGGCTTCCCTCCTCCTTCTAACCTGAACAATTCTCTTTAAAATATTCCCATTCTGTGATTCCTAATAAACACTGGCATTTCTGAGGCAATTTCCCACTGGCTCTCAATAAACCCTGCAAAGTACTAACAACCATGCTTTCTTGCTGGTGTGTAAGCTCCTAAAAGGCAGGAATTGGGAAAATAAAAACCCAACAAAAAAACCCTTTCCCCTTCACACACAGCAGGTATTTAATAAATGCTTGTTGGATTCAGTTTTAACCCAGAAATCTGCTGTCTCCACAGAGGCCCCTCTATTTAGAGACCCTCTAAGTTGAAAGAAGCATCGGAAGCCACCAATTCCAACCTGCCCTGCCCCAGAATCCACACCTAGTGACCAGTACTTGGCCACACCTGCTGGAATCCTTGTTGGAGAACCTCAAGGTAAAGAATTATTTCTGAGGAAATCTAGCCCAACACTACATTTTTAGGTTCTTCTTCACATCTAATTTGCATTCCTGCTCTGCCAACTCATTTTCTCCTAAAATATCCCTAATAGAGACAAAAAAAACCTACCTGCTTGCCCTTTAATGATACAGCCTTCTCTCTCCAAGCTACCTAAGTCTGGTCCTCTCCCTTCCCTAGCAGGTCTGATTTTCTAAATCTACTCATCTCCTGTGGCCTTCCAGCTGATTCACATAACCAAGATGATAAGGGCTTCCAAAGGAGAGGAGTCATGGCCCTTCTTCCTTCTAGGATTTCCAGGGAGACAGACAGTATGATCTAACGGCAAAGGCTCTGGACAAGAGCTGGAAGGTCCAGTTTCTGTCCCCAGTGCTGCTACTCATCGGTTGGGTGACACTTCCCAGCCCTGGTCCTCTGTTTCCTCATCTAGAAATGCCCAGGTTGGACAGATGACCTCAAAAGACCCTTCCAGCCGAGAATGCATGCCCCTATGATTGACTACTTATTATTTGCAAGGCTGACTAGCTTGTAGCATAGGGCACAGGCCCCCTGACAACCTGGAGGCTCATCTCCAGAGCTATGTAAAGTCACAACACGGCGGTTGTTGCTTCTTCTGTCTGCAGCCTGTGACCTCGGCTGTGCCGAGGTGACCTGTGTCTGGGTTTCTCGCCAATGGATGGGGCTCAATCAGTGCAATCTGGAGGAAGCCACTTCCAAAGTCCATGCTGGAGCCACCAAATAAAGGAGCAGCAGCAGCAGCATCTCCCAGGATGGCATGCTGGTGGTGGTACTTGCTGGTATGTGTTATCATGGGAATACTGCGGGCTTGGCTCTCTTTGGCTTCTCCAGCATGGTAAGGAACTTGCACTGACTGACTGTATTCACTCTGACCATTTTTCTAGCCAATCAGGCCCATTTTAAACTTCAGCTGTCTGAAATTTGTGAGCCAACTATCTCTGACTTGAGGTTAGCTATGAAATTGCCGCCATTTTCCATTTCAATCCTCGGCTCACTGATGACAAGAATGCATCCAGAACCCAAGGCCACCAATATCACCCAATCTGCCCTAGAATCAATAAGGAAAGGAACGGAAGGAAGGATCCCTAGGCTGCACAAACTTGATGCTTTGTGTAAAACCAAGAAGCACTTGGTAAGTGAATGCTACATGCCCAGCACTGGCTTAGACACGCCAGCGGAACAACAGTAGAGAGGTCAAGACAAACCTTGAAAATAAGCACTAAGCCCCCCCAAATCACAGCCTTGCTGGGAGGCCCACCATGCTCCCATTTCATATGCTCTGCCAAAAAGGGGCAGAGGCTCTGTCTCTTAAGTGCATATTCACATACCATGTCTCTCTCCTCTCCTGTCTCCTGTGCCCTTTTCTCAGGCTGGCTGGCATCTCCAGGCCTCCTCAAATCTGTGTTTTTTTCCTTTAAAGCCAGTTCAAGGCTCACCCTCCACACAAGGTTCTTCCTGCTCTTCCCAGCTGCAAGGGCCCTTCTCCTTCCCAATTACCCTGTGCTGCTTTCTGTATGCATTCTAGATATATTTATAAATGAACATGAAAGAATGCAAGCTCTTTTTTTTGCATTCAAGGGTCCAGCACAGGGCTGGCCACACTGGAGGAGCTTAGTAATGCTTGTGGATTGATAATGTGGTTTTGTGGAAAGAGCACCAGCCTATGAGTCACAGGGCCTGGATTCTAATCTGGCTCCGCCATTTTCTAGCATATGAATGTAGGCAAACCATTTCATTCAAGGCTCTGTTTTCTTATCAAAAATATGGGAGAATGATTCCTGACTCACTCACTTAACAACAGCTAGCATTTGTCAAGCATCTGAAAGGTTGCAGAATGCTTTCCAAATATCATCTCATCTGATCCTCAGAGCAATGATGGGAGGTGGGTGCTGTCCTGGGCCCCCTTTTATAGGTGAGAAAGCTGAGGCAGACAGAGGTTAAGGGACTTGTCCACGATCACTCAGCTAGTATGCGAGGCAAGGTCTGACACCAGGCCTGGCATTCTATCCACTGCACCACCCAGCTGCCTCTGTTCCCATGGGGATCACACCAGAAAATGCCTGTGGGGAGCTGTTCGAAAATGGAAAATCTCTGGCCAAACTAAGGCATTATGAGGTTAATGTGAAGCAGGTCCAGTCCATTCCCACGGCAGGGTCAAGCACACAGACGACTCATCCCCTTTATACAAAGTCATTTCTAGTCCTTCTGGACATGGGGAAAGTTCATTCTATAGCAAAGGAATGAGAATCAAAAAGAGCTTCCAGCTTCTGAGGGATTAGCAAACGGCCCGGTTCAGACCAGGCAGACATAGACAGGAAGGAAAGGAAACTGTCGATGCAGGAACTAGAACAGCAGCTTGGGTCTCAAAATAGCTTTTTACCCAAATCCAGCCAGATTTGGACGGGGATGAGCATCTCTTTCCTTCCTAATCAACTGTCACACATCATCCGGGAGCCTTGGTTACCCAGAGGATGGTGTCACCCTTGACAACCGCAGAGATCCCTCATCAGGGATGCTATCAGCGCCTCACTGGGTGAGTGGCCAGCACTGACTGCAGCCCTCACCTGCAGCATCGCCAGAAACACCCCAAGCTACTTGCCTTCAGCAAGATGTCCACGATCCGCTGCTGGTATTCCAGAGCTTGCTTGTCATTTTTAAAATCTTCAAAAGTCTACAAAGGAGAAAGAAGGCTCTCCGTTACAAATGACTAATTATACATTTCAGAGGCAGCCCCACATCGTTCCCCGGAATAACTATAAATAAACGGCAAATAAGTTCATAGACAAGATAATTATCCCTCTACGCAGCTTCTCTTTGTAAACAGGCTTAATGAGCATCCACTGATAGGTGCGGGGAAGTCTGCAGCACGCGACCGTGCACGAAATCCTGGGACTTCTAGTAAATAAAGCTATAAAAAGAGAGTGGGGAAAAGTGCTGAGCAGAAGGAAGCAGGAGGAAGAAAACCATCCCCAGAGAGAGGGGGAGGCTGGGATAACGGCGCCATCACCGCCCTCTCCCTCTTGAGCTGTGTAGAACTAATGTGTATAGAGCCCCCTTTCAGACGGTTTCCATCTATTCTCTATGTAGGGCTGGTAGGTGGCGCCATGGTGCACAGAGCCCCAGACGAGGAGTCAGGAAGACCTGAGTTCAAATTTGGACTCGGACATTTACTAGCTGGGTGACCCTGGGCAAGTCACCTCCCCGTTGGCCTCAGTTTCCTCATCTGTTAAATGAGCCAGAGAAGGAAATGGTAAGCCACTACAGTATCTTTGACACGAAAACCCCAAACTGGGTCACGAGAGAGCCGGACATGACTGAACAACAAAATTCTCTGTTATCTTGGACGTCTAGTTCTTTGCATGTTGTCTCACCCCGTGAGAATGGGATCTCTTTGTGGGCAATGCCTTGTTTTTGTTTTTACCGGGATCCATAGAACTCTGTGTCTGATATGTAGTAAGCATTCAATAAATGCTTAATAAGTGTAATTTTTTTCCTTTATTTTTCTTGCTTTCCCTCTAGAACATGGCTAATGCAGAAATATGTTTTGCATGACTTCCTATGTATAATGGAGATCATAATTACTGACTTCTCAATGTGTGGGGAATGGGGTAGTGGGAAGGAGACAATCTGGAGCTCAAAATAGAAATTAAATTTAAAAAATACACGTCTGACCTTCTTCTCCTGCACCCCTCGCCCCACCTCAGAATGTCAGCTCCTTGAGGTAGGGGAATGCTTTCCATTTGATTTCTGTATCTTCAGAGCCTTTCACATGGTAGGGGATTAATAAAAGTTTGTTAAAATGAACTGAATTAGGGGCAGCTAGGTGGTGCAGTGGATAGAGCACTGGCCCTGAAGTGAGGAGGACCTGAGTTCAAATTCGGCCTCAGACCAAACACTTGCCACTTACTAGCTGTGTGATCCTGGGCAAGTCACTTAACTCCAATTGCCACAAAAAAAAAAAGGAAAAAAAAGGGAAAAAAAGAATAAAATGAACTGAATAAGATGGAGAACAATCTGGAAGCAACGATTTGGGGAAAGAAAGAAAGAACAGGCGCACGTCCCCCACTCATCCAGCCTACACAAGCTAGGGATGATAACGGCCATCAAATAGAGCACATTAGTTGTCGGGCAGAATGACTTCTGTGATTTCCATGACAACCAGGGAAAGGGGACATTGGAGACATTCCCCAAAGTTGCCACGGTGAAACTGTCCAAGTTCTAAAAATCTTCTGTCTAGAATGCGGCTCCTCTTCTCAACCCCTGCCGAGTACTTTATCCTCGAACATGCCCCTCAAGTAGATTTGTGTGTTAAGGACATTGCCGGCCCGAGCCAAAGTACTGACTGGGTGGGTGGGGGGGCCATCCAGGTAATGGGGCAGGGTGAGGGTGGGAGCCATCCAGGTGATGGGGCGGAGTAAGAAGGGGGGGCCATCCAGGTGATGGGGTGGGTTGGCAGGGGGACCATGCAAGGGATGATCTAACAAGGACCAGGCAACTTGCCCTGGTCTTGGCAGGCCTTGAACTTAGTCTTGTAAGTCCAAGCAGAGGAGGTGCTGTAGTCACTGGCCAAGCTGCCCTGTAGGTCCTGGGAGTGAACATATTCATCTATGAAGGAAGACCAACATGGCCCCGTAGATGGCTAAAACTTAGCTCTGAGAGAAAGGCCTTTTCTTCCACATACAGAAACGTGGAGGGAGATTCCTTATTTCTCAGCCGGTGAAAAGGTGCCTGAAGACCAAGTTCTTGGTGAGAAAAGGGATTACTCCAAAAGGCAGACAAACTGATGGAAGAAACCCAGTGATCTTCACTCGGAGGCTTGCAGCCCGAGAGGGAGTGTTACCAAGGGAGACAGGAGAGTTTCCTGATGTGTCGGGTTTTCCAAGGAGGAGAGATTCTGCTCTGTCTAAATGCCATCCTGCTCAGAAGCAGGGGGATGGACTAGATGGCGTCGTCATTTTATCCTTTCCAGGTGCTGGAGGGAGCCACGAGTCTGCAGGTGCAGAGAGAGGCAGAGCCCTCCCAGATGCACATACGCATCCCCCTCGTACAAGTGCACACAGCATTACCGTGACACACAGAGGAACGGGCTGCCGCAGCGAGCGACAGCAGCTTTCTTTATCCATTCTTCCCTTTGGCAGCGTGCATTCGTGGCTTTGAAACAGATCCTGAAAGCGTATTTCTGTAAACATCATTAAGTGGTAACGCCTCACAGCGTGAATATTGTGGGACAAATAATGACATATTTTGGTGGCGTTGAACAACTGTCACCAGACTGACACAGCATCATGAGAACATGATCTGCTGGCAGCGTTTCCTCTAGTTATAAAATCCTTCTGGCCAGGGAGGATAAAAGCATCCTGGGGGAGATGAAGGGATCGCATGGGGAAGGGGTGCGCGGTGGGGCGAGCTCGGCCAGCCAGGCCAGGCAGAAGCAGCCTTGGAGTCCAGTCCCAGTCATGCACTTCGTGCTGATCGTGACCTTTATCATTATTAACAGTGACGACAATAGGAACTGGCACTTACACAGAACCTTAAAGTTTGCAAAGTGTCTGACATGTTACCTCATTTTATACTCATAACCACCCTGGGAGGTAGGTGTTATCCCCATTATACAGCTGATGAAACTGAGGCAGACAGAGTTCAAGTGACTTGCTCAGGGTCACCCTGCGAAGAAGTGTCAGAGGCTGGATTTGAACTCAGATCTTCCTGACTCTAGGCCCGACGCTCTCTCTACCGAGACCTCTGATGGCCTGGAGGACAAGCTCGGCTCCCTCTGAAGAGGCTCCTTCCCAGGTGCAATGGAGTGACCATGATGGGGAAGGGCCACAATGAGGCTTTTACTACCCTGGGATTCCTCATCCAGGATTTATTCCCTTCTTCACCAAAGATATGGAGGAGGAAGAGAAAACAGGGAAGGACAAGCATCTCCGAAGCGGGGCAAGGGACCCTCCCGTCAGCTGGGCTGGGCCGCTACCCCAGCGGCCGAGGGAAAGCTGGGTTGTGAGTCACCTCTGGGGGAGCGGCCTACAGTGGGCCTCCCTCCCCATCCTCAGGACTCCAGCCACTCTCTCTCTCTCCCTTCTCTGGTGGGAGTGGTATGGATAGTATGGATGGTGTAGCTGGTGAGGCTGGTGTAAACGGTGTGCATGGTGTGGATGGTGATAGTGTAGATGGTGTAGATGGTGTGGATGGTGTAGATGGTGTGGATGGTGTAGATGGTGTGGATGGTGTAGATGGCGAGGATGGTGTGGACAGTGTGGATGATGATGGTGTAGATGGTATGGATGGTGAAGGTGGTGTGGATGGTGTAGATGGTGTGGATGGTGTGGATGGTGAAGGTGGTGTGGATGATGAGGGTGGTTGGATGGTGAGAATGGTATGAATGGTGTAGATGGCGAGGATGGTGAAGGTGGTGTGGATGGTGAGGGTGGTTGGATGGTAAGAATGGTATGAATGGTGTAGATGGCGAGGATGGTGAAGGTGGTGTGGATGGTGAGGGTGGTTAGATGGTATAGATGGTGAGGATGGTGTGGATGGTGTGGATGATGATGGTGTAGATGGTGTGGATGGCATGGATGGTGTGGATGGTGAAGGTGGTGTGGATGGTGAAGGTGGCGTGGATGATGAGGGTGGTTGGATGGTGAGAATGGTATGAATGGTGTAGATGGCGAGGATGGTGAAGGTGGTGTGGATGATGAGGGTGGTTAGATGGTATAGATGGTGAGGATGGTGTGGATGGTGTGGATGATGATGGTGTAGATGGTGTGGATGGCATGGATGGTGTGGATGGTGAAGGTGGTGTGGATGGTGAAGGTGGCGTGGATGATGAGGGTGGTTGGATGGCGAGAATGGTATGAATGGTGTAGATGGCGAGGATGGTGAAGGTGGTGTGGATGGTGAGGGTGGTTAGATGGTATAGATGGTGTAGATGGTGTGGATGATGACGGTGTAGATGGTGTGGATGGCATGGATGGTGTGGATGGTGAAGGTGGTGTGGATGGTGAAGGTGGCGTGGATGATGAGGGTGGTTGGATGGTGAGAATGGTATGAATGGTGTAGATGGCGAGGATGGTGAAGGTGGTGTGGATGGTGAGGGTGGTTAGATGGTATAGATGGTGTAGATGGTGTGGATGATGACGGTGTAGATGGTGTGGATGGCATGGATGGTGTGGATGGTGAAGGTGGTGCGGATGGTGAAGGTGGTGTGGTTGGTGTAGGTGGTGTGGATGGTGAAGGTGGCGTGGATGATGAGGGTGGTTGGATGGTGAGAATGGTATGAATGGTGTAGATGGTGAGGATGGTGAAGGTGGTATGGATGGTGAGGGTGGTTGGATGGTGTGGATGGTGAGAATGGTATGAATGCCATAGATGGTGAGGATGGTGAAGGTGGTATGAATGGTGTAGATAGTATGGATGGTGTAGTCGGTGAGGATGGTACGGATGGTGTGGATGGCTCAGCTGGTGTGGATGGGCAGGTGGCGTGTGTCTGCCCCGCTCCCGTGGCATGGCCGTCTCAGCTTCTCTCATCTTGGAGCCTACAGCCTGACTTACTCCTCCTGCCCACAGGTCCAGCTGAAGCTGATGGAAGCCAGAGCCACTAACGTTCATCCTCTGATTGGAGGAGCATGCATTTATAAAGCACCTGCTGTACACAATTCTTGCTAATTTCCCAGGAAAACTGGTCTGCCTGTCTAAGAAAGTTCCAAAAAAAGTGAAAAAAGGTCATTCTAAATGACACAGAAAATGAAAAGAAAGGAGGGCAAGATGGAAAAAAGGAAAGAGAAGACAATTAATTGGTCAGTAGGTCATGGGAATGGTCATTTTTTAAATCCCCCATTCATCTTACATGGGTGCATTCCTGCCCTCTGACTCAATTAAAGGATATGCAGAGTGGGTTTCCAATAGATGACAGAAAGTTTGTTTTGCTTAAATTTACTTTTATTTAGATGCTTAAAACTTAACTAATGAGTAAGCTTACTTTGTTCATTGGTACATGGTTTTTAGTACATGATATGTGGGTCTTTTCTTCCTTCCATGACAGGTAAGTGGAATTTGCCAGCTTCTCTTGGGAAGTATTTCCAGAAAGTACGTAGGCTTCAGTACTATCGGTACCAGGCTGGTGAAATGAATGCACATTCACCTGTTGTGGCGTTTCTAATCTACCTTCCATTACAAGTTTTCCTTCCCAGAAAAATATAGCATATGTTTTATTCTACTTTGTGCTGCTCCTGAATCTGATAATTCATCTGCCCAGTTTGGTGTGAGTTTTACAAATATCTGGCCTCGTGCATTATTCTCACAAACAAATGGCGTGACTGTTCTGAGCGCTGGCTTGTGAGGGATGCCTGGTTGTTTGGCCCATATTCTTCCTCACGGGTGTATTGGTCCTAGGTCATCTCCTCCAGTCCATGGAGCGTATGTGTTGACCAAGACATTTCTTACGAGTCCGTCCTCTGCCGCGGGTGGCGCGTCCTCTCCTCTGACCTGTGAACCCCGGACTCTCCATCCTCTGCCCACTGGTTTTTCATACAGTCATATTCTGTTCTCCATTTATCTCCCTTGCTTTCATGGTTGTAATCGCAGATTATTCTTTGTGGACTGCTGGAATCAACACATACATTCCCTGAGTACACGGCTGGCCCCCTTCTCCCTGCCACCAATGAGTATTCTGGAAACTGGAATCCTGATGTAGACGCTCTTTGTCCGCATGCTTCCCGGTAAGTGAAGTTCTCAGTTCTTCCTCCCGCTCTCCAGCCCCATTCTGGGGCGATTTCTGCCCCTTGCTCTTCCCAGCAGTCTGCTCTCATTTGCGCTGCCCCTCCTAATTGGCTGGTACCTGCTATGTTTTTGTTAGTTTTAAAATGGTATTTTCCTGTTGGGAAGTGGTCTCCAGTTCTCATCATTTCTATTGGTACGGCATTTCCCATGGTTAGAAATGGTGCATCCATTGTGTCCATTTCTAGCCTGGAGGTTGGTTTTCTTTGACCATCTCCTTGGTTGAATGTGTGGTAAAGTTCAGAGAGCAGCCCCATGGTTTCAGCCGCTTGGTTTACCAGGGGGTGTGTCTCGTCTTGGGCCGTCTGAGCCCTGTGGCATTATGCTGCTGGCTGCTGTTGTACCTTTTGACTTTCCGTCTTCCTGGACCAGTCTCCGCTACCACTTTTATCGCCAGGTTGAAAATTTCTTGCTCTAGACTTTCCAGTTTAAGTCTGAACGGATTGTCTTTAGGTGCAGAAATCTGCAGGACTCGACCAAACACTCTGGGCATTTGCATTAATCAATAGCCACGACCACGGTATAGTATTTGTGTACGTGCACTCACTTCCCGCATTGTTCCTACAGCTGTGAATGCTGTCTCTGTGCTCTGATAATGATAGGATTCACTCTCTGGTGCATTTAAATGTATTTGCCTACTTGCACGACATGTTATCATTACATGGTCTCCCTCAAATTTCCATTCAGGTGTCTTAGGAAAGGCCCCAGCACTGACTCCCGGCCGGTGCTTCCCCCGTGAGTCGGCCCTCCCCGTCTTGCTGCGTCCCTCCGGGATGCCGCTCCCTCACCCCGTGCCTTTGTTCTTGCTCTGAAGCTCTTTGCTGCTGGAAGTGTTTTCTCGCTTGGTCAATGAATCTGTTTTCGTGGCTGTCTTCTGACATCACCACCTGGTTGAGCTGGCTTCTTTCTAACTTTTAGAATGTGCAGTTAGTAAAGATGGTCTTTTACCTCTTTTTGGCGTGGGAGCAGTGGGACGCGGCGCTCTTTCTGCTTGGAACACTCCGTTCTCATCCACCCTCCAAAGTCTTGGCGTTTTCTGTGCTCTGATGAATCTGTCCTCTGCTGGATTGTGAAAGATTCTCAGATTTATTCCTTGTTCTGACAGCTTGGTGTCTTCTTCGCCGTGTTGCTCTGCTGCAGAGTCTGATGGACTTGTTGGTTCTCTGCCGTCAAGGGTTTCCCGTCCCGGGCAGCTACCTGTACCCAGGCAGCATGAATCCTGTAACACGAGAGAGTGGTTCAGTGTTTTGTTTTCACGTGGGGTTGGTAAATTTAGGAGAGGCCTGATGCACTGCTTGCCTTCTCTTGGTCTTTCTACACTGGGGGTCAAGGGGCTCTTGGAAGAATGTTTCCCAGGCAAAGGCTGGTTCCAGCGTGAGCGTCTTCTGCCCCTTTACTGGGTCGGTCGATGGCTCTGGTCCTGAACAAGAAGCTGTCCCCTCGGTCTTCTGTGAAGGCGAGCTGTCTCCCTGCTTTTCTAGTATTGTCTCCGCCTCCTTTCCAATTCTCCTCCCGTTCTGGCACAGCCTTCCATCACACGCTTTTCACTGCTGGTTCCAGGCCTTTACTAAGTGAGTATGTGAGCCATCATCGTCTTTTGGTTCAAAACCTCCTCCCAGCTGTTGGTCCATGCAGAGATTTAACCATCTGTCCTTTTACTGGCCGGCTGGCTCTGGTCTTGCTTCACAACCAATCCTTCCTTTTGTTATGTCTTGGCTGATTCTCGTTACTGCTGCTGCTGCTGGGTCAGATGGTTCTGATCCTTTTCCTTTTTGGTCAGTTCTGACTGAGTACCCAGACATGAGCTGTTTACACTGGTTGTTCTGCTTCTTCAGCCCATGTAAAGTTTTTGTGTGCGCATTCACTGAACAGGAAGCTGATATTTGCTGGGTTGTGGCACCCCACGTTTCCCACTCAACCTCCATCATCCAAAACATTCATACTATTACCCTCACCACCCACACCCCACCCTTATCAAGCACACCATCCACACCACCCTCATTATACACCAAGGGTAGACTTGCCTGGTTACAGAGTTAGAACTCTTTGCAAACACCAGGAACACAACATACTGAGTGTGTTCAAACTTCAATTCGATGTTCATTAAGTAACTGCCGTGCGCAGAGAGCCATCCTAGGCACTAGAGGAGATGCTGTTTACTTACCATTCTTATTCTTACTAACAACAACTTTAAAATTGTGCTTTCAAGCTTCCAGGGCATTTTACAGACACCAGCCTTACAAAACCGGGCAGTGGCCTCTCTGGGTGGCGTTATGCCTAGTTCTTGAAGAAGAAACTGAGCCTCAGTGAGGGGCCGTGGCCTGTCCAGTGGCTACAGTGGTTGCTCCTGCCTTTATAATGCCCATGGCTTAGAGGGCAGTAAGACACATGAGAACAGCCAATATTCACATGGAGCTTAAAGACTGGCAAAGCACTTGACTCATGTGATCTCCTTTGATCCTGACAACAACCTTGGGACGGAGGTGCTGTTATAATGTTTGTCTTACAGATTGGGAAACTGAGGCAGAGGAGGCCGGATTTGAACTCAGGCCAGGTTTCCTGACTCTGGACCTAGAGCTCCGTCCACTTAGCTGCCTCTAGGAGAAGTGACAATCCCTGGAAAACCCGCTGTTGGTCCACAGCCCCAGGCGCTGGGTGAGGCCCCTCCAAAGTCTTTACCTCCCCACCCCCACACTCTCACAGCTCCTCTTCTCAGCCCGGTTCCACTCTCCGGCCTGACCTCCGACCCTCAATCCCCTCCTGCTCACCCCGGCTCGGGCCTCACCGTCCTGAGCCCACAGCTCAGGGCCTTGTCACCTCGTCTGAGTCCTGGACCCCACCCCTTGGACAGTCTCCCCTAGCAGGCTGCTGTTTTTGTTTTTTAAAAACAGATAATTGAAGGAAATGAAAGTTTTCAGTTAGAAGTCAATGTAACTTTTCTCCAACCTAGCTTCGACTCCCCTTGCAGCACAGCCACAGACAGGCCCTTCCCCTGCTGGTGGCATGGCTGGGCTCTAGGCACGACGCCAAGATCCAAGGCAGGGACTTCGTGTAGTGGAAAGTGTACCAAGCATGGAATCATAAAAGCTGAGTTCAAATCCTGGCTCTGACTACTTGTGTGACCTTGGATAAATCACTCCACCTGGGCCCCAGCTTCCTCCTCTGGGGATCTCGAAGGTGGATCTCTGCACCTATGAACGTAGGAAGGGGCCACTTACCAGGGCAAGGACGTTCAGGAATTCCCTGGTATCGAAGTGAAGCAAAGTACAGATATAGGGGTAGATCTCTTCCTCAGAGGAGGCCTCCGCAGAATGCAGGCGGATCAGAAACTCAAAGACCTGCAGATGGAGAGAGGGGTGCCCAAGATGTCGGACAGCAGCCATGATGCCCGCCAGGATCCACAAGGGCCGTCTGAGGGGTTGCCACGGTCCTGTCAGCCCTCTGGGGGACACCGTGATGCAGGTCAGCAATGGGCTCACGGGGGTGTCCTGGCTCGTGGATGGGGCCGCACCTACCTGGTTTTTAACCAAGGGCACCAGGTCTTCAGGGATGTCCCCCAGGGGATAAGCACGACCTGCCAGGCAGCAGCTGCAGAGGAAGAACACAGTCCTGGTGAGAAGACACAGAGCCCCTGCCCCCAGCCCAAGTCCGGAAGCTGCTCTGGCTCTGGCCCAGCCTCGACCAGCCCAGCCACAGGCCAAGATGCTCTGGAGATTCCTTGTCTGGGCTCGTCCCTTTTTGCTTTTGAGGGTGAAGGGAAGGGGGCTCACCCTGAAGTCATCAGGGAATCTAGGAGGGTCCTGGATACGAACAGGGCCTGGTTCTGGCTTGGTCACACCCAGTCAGGAGTCTAGGTACTTGCCCTCAGTCTAGCCTAGAAACCAGGGCAGTGACGCGTCTCACAGGCTGCTGTGAGATGAGCAATGAGAACCTGTAGCGGTCGCCTTGGCCAGGGGGACAAAGCCTTCAGAAGTGATGGCGATGGCAGTCAATCTTTTATTTAGGACAAAAGCCAGCCCCGCCTGCTATGTGTAAGTGTACTGGTGCTACAAGCTGGCTGGGGGTGGCATGGGGGAGGGGTGGGGAGGGAAGTCACTGTTGTCTTGGGCAAGTCACTTGGATGTGTGGGCCTCAGTTTCCTCAACTGTAAAAGCAGAGGGGTTGGCTTAGAGGGCCTCTGAGGTGACTTCTGGGTCTCAATTAGTGACATATACAATATGCAATCTGAAGTCCAGCACTGGGGGGTCAGGGAGGGGCCCTAGACCCGGAGCAGGAAGAGAAGTCCCGCAGATCCATTCTGTATTTACCTTATGTAGACCAGAAGCTTGTTGCCCATAATAACCTGTTCATCTGCAACAGAAAGAGAACATTTCCAGCAACTCTCCCTCTGCTCTCGTAGGCAGGGCTACAGCAGCTTTGGGGGAACGGGGGTGGGCGGTGGCCCCCAAGGGGAGGGGGTCTGAGCCCAGGCACTGCTGCTCAGCACTTCCAGGGCGGACAGACCTCACTGCTGAGAGAACCACTTCTCATCAGTGGAGAAGGCCTCTGGGGCTATGCAGGACAGTTGTCAATGGATGACTTTGCCATTGGCAAGGATGGGCAGTAGAATGGACTCTTAGGTTAAGAGTAATCGGTTGGAGGACAGAGAGGGCCAGGAGCTGAGGGAATCCTGGCCTCAGGGAGGATTGTTGTCTGGCTCTGGCTCATCTTGGGGAGCACGACAGCACCAACGGGGTGGGGAGGCAGACGGGTACACAGAAACGGGTGGAGCGATTTCATAAAGCGGACATTCCTCATCCTGGGCTAGGACGACTAAAGGAAGACTGACTGACCCAAGGGACACCAGGGTGAGGATCCATGCTGGAGGCAGGGGATGAATGGATGCCCTCTAAGCCCTTCTCTAAGTCTACTCTGTGGACTCCAGGAGAAGCCGGGGATAAATCGGAGAAGGTGAGGGCTTGTGGAAAGGAACCCAGGGTCAGAGAGAGGACAAGCAGCTTCTACTCCTGATTTCACTGACTCAGCTTTCCTATATGTAAAATGAGGTGGCCATCCCATGCCCCTCTATATCACAGAGCCTCCTGACCCTTGGCAGCCTGCCTTGAGCCCCTCCCTTCCTATGTGTGCTGCCAGTGGGGCAAAGGCAGGGGTCCCAGAAGCCGGCTGCCTGTGTGCCCCAGGCCCTCACCCACATCTAGGACATTGAGGGCGCCTCCCTGCCTCCTCAGCTCTCTTCCTCTTCTTTGGGAGCCCTGGGAATCTCGGGGGGGTAAATCCTGCCGGGCCCTTCAGCCTCCTCTGCCGTTTTCCTCTAACCCCAGACAACTGAAGGCTTGTTTGCTCCACTGCACCCCAGCTCACACTGGATGCTGCTTACCTGTCAGAGACTTTCCTGCACTCAGAGGAGGAGCAATGACCTTGAAAAGTTTCTGCATTTAAAATGAACAGAAGAATGATTTCAGAAGGTAAGAAGAAAACCATGTCTTTGCCTCCAGCCCCCGCGTCCAAGGCGACAGGACTGGGGCTGGCCCATGTCCCAAGCCTGGCTCCAAGGACACTCATCCTTTCAGGGTCACTGACAAGGAAACGTTTAGGTTGGGGACTTCCACCTCTCTCAAGTAAAACATCCTCCCCTTCGGGGGCGTGAATGCCACCCCACTAAGACACAGGCCCAGGGCTGAGGACATCAGGGTCTAGGACATGCTGCAGCATCCTTCCTGTGTCCTGGGAGCTGTCCAGCAGTCAGCCAACCCCTTTCTACACAACAACAGGAGAACACGTGTGTGGGATCAGGCATGACAGGGAAGAAGGGACGCTGTCTCCCCAAGAGCCAGGGCTCACTCGCCAGCAGGCTGCTCTCTTTCAGGCCTTCTCTGCCAGGGCACTTTCCTGCGCACTGCCCTGGCCTTTCAGATTTCTTCTTGTGTGTTGTCTCCTTCACTGGACTGGAAGCTCCTGGAGGGCAGGGACTGTCTGGTTCTTTCAAATTTGTGTTGCCAGTGCTTAGCACAGAGTAGGCGCTTAATAACTGCTGACTGAGTGGTGTGGTTGGAAGAGCAAACAATGAACAGGAGATATAACCAGGGAGAGGTGCTGGCATTAAGAGGGGCCAGGGAAGGCTTCTTTCAAAAGAGGGTTTTAGCTGGGATGTGAAGGAAGCCAGGAGACCGAGACAAGGAGGAGAGAACTGTGGGCACAGGAGATACCCAGGGAGAGAGCCGGGGACGGAGGAGTATATGGTGCCATAGCTGGAGCATTCCTCCTAATGTATAAGAAGACCAACAAGGTGGGAGGGGGAGGATTGAAGACTTGATGTTTGATCCCGGGTCTTACAGAGGGAGGAGGCGACGTGCTCCATCACGTGGATCTGATTTGCCAGCAGTGAGACTGTGGCCAGGGCATTGTCCTGTTTCCTCTTCTGTAAAAGGAGGGGACTGGCCTGGGTTATCCCAAGGCTCCACTGAGCTCCACCTCCCCCAGCGTGAACACTCATGACCATGAGCCATCTCCTCGTGGGGAAAGCTGCTCCCACATGGGCCAACTCTCCACCTCCATGGGGGTTGGAGGAGATGGTTTCATATAGGGAGAAACCAAAAGACATTACATGGAAATCCCCAGGAGACATTCTTCTCCAAGGAGACGGTGTTGAATCAATGTCTACTTTCAGAATCCAATTCAATGCTAACTAGAAGTTCTGTTCCCAACCATAAGCAGTGTGGCCTGAGGGTCTGGGGAGCTGCTTGGGCCAGGCCTGTGGGACCAGTGACTGAACAATGAGGCCATCGCAGCCTGGCTCTGACCCCTCCAGCAAAGCCAGGAACAAGGCACAAGGTGGTAGGTAAGAGCCATCCCAGAATCCTTCCAGGACACAGTTGAAGGAAGGGGAGGAGCCACTTGGGGGAAAGCTTCCCCTTGATTCCAATCTGACATTACCTAGGTATGAGTTGGGGGGAGGGGGGCAGGAGGCAGATGTTCATAAAGTGCTGAGGAGGCTGCTTGCCTCAGTTCCACTGAAAGGTCCGGTAGGACTCTTGGGCCTCTTTCCATCCCAGGGCTTATGTCAGTCCCTGGTCTTTTAGGAAAGGCGGTCTGGGGCACCTTTCACACCTGAGGCACCACCACCAACTCCCTCAGTTGGGCATGTAGCAAGGAAGGCTAGAGTGACCTCCTGGGCAGCCCCGGCCCAGACTGTGCGACTCTCCCTTGGGGGCTGTATTGTCGACCCCCTCCACCCCTTCCTCCTCCCCGTGTCCCTGGTAAAACTAGCAACAGCTTCTCAAGCAAGGCTCTCCCAGGCCCTGCTCCCTGCTCCCTGGATCCCTTCCCCAGTGGCTAACCATCACCTTCTTTGACAAAGGTTTTGGAAAGGCAGCTGTCACAGGTCACTGGGGAGCATCACCTAGACAAAAGCTTCTCCTGAAGCTTCGAGATAGGACCTGGAACGTTTTTAGCTGTTTATCCAAATGGGGAAGAAAGGATAACAGACAGAAGGCATGGGATGAAAGGATGATTTAAAATCCCGAGCAGGTCCTAGAAATCTCCTGAAGTGAACCAGAAGTGACCAAGAGAGCAACTGAGAGTCTTCAAAACCCAGTGAAAACACCCGGTACACTGGGGGGAGAGCCAGCACTGGGTGCCCGGCAACCTCACCTCCATTGGACTGATGAATTCATTCATGCCCCTGTTGTAGACGTAGATCATGGCATCATAGAGGCGATTCTCCCAGCACATGAGAACGACCTGCGAAAAGGAGCAGATGACCCTGGATCTGAAGGCAGTGACCAAGCCAGAGAAATCCTGCATGGGAAGCGAAATCAATCAGCGAGTGCTTATGAAGCGCCTACTGTGTGCCAAGCCCTATGTGCTGAGTGCCGGTGAGACAGACAAAGAAGCAAAAACGGCGCCAGCCCCATGAGCTGACACTCTACTGAGGGAAACTCTGTGAGCACAGGCCACGCGGTGATAACCTAGTGTACACCCTCTACACGGGAGCAGGAGGAGGAGGAGGAGGAGGCGGCCAGAGCCATGAAAGCAGACAGCTGTAAGATGCAGGCGTGAGGGAAGGGGCCAGACTGGGCAGTCTCCAGCGACAGACAGAGGGCTGATGCCTGGCCCCACAGCTGACGGGCAGTGACTGGAGCTGGCTGGGCGGGGAGGGGACGCGCGCTTTGGGAAGGTCACTGCGGCAGGGTGGGAATAGGAGAGAAGTCTCTGGAGATGGGGCTGAGGACCTGCACCAGCCTGGGATGGGGTTGGAGGAGAGGAAGGGCTGTGTGTAGGAGGGGCTGCAGAGAAAGAAAGGACAAGACTCCATCTGTTCAAGGCCCTGAAGCCTTGGTCCCCCTCCTTCACATCCCAACCATGTTCCCAGATTTAGAGCGGGAAGGGGCCTCGGGGTCTGGCCTAACCACAAAGGTTTAAGGTAATCAGAGGCAGCTGGGAGGCACCACAGTGCACAAAGCACCAGGCCTCGAGTCAGGGAGATCCGAGATCAAATCCGGTTCAGACACTAGCTGCAGACCCTGGGTGAGTCACCTCACCTCTGCTTACGTCAGTTTCCTCATCTATAAAATGGGGATCATAACAGCACCTCCCTCCCTGGGCTGTCGTGAGCAGCAAATGATCTAGTATTTGTAAAATGCTTTAGCCCACAGTAGGCGCTCTCTAAACATCAGCTGCCACGTGACAGAACCCGGATGCGAGGGCCGGCCCCACAACACCAGGTCACACTGGGGTCAGACTCAGTGACAAGCACACAGCACTGTCACAAGTCCCGTGAAGCTACCTCAAGCCCGGCCTTAGCTTCTGACTGGCCCAAAGTCGCTACATGTAAGGCCGAGCATTCCCAGGGGATTCGGCCATCAAAGGGGGTGCTCCGTGCTGAGCCTCCGGGATGAGACTCCATCAGCTCGTGCATCTTCTGCACCCAAGGCTGTGTGGTCGATGCTGTGCTTGGTGATGGGAGGGAAGATGAGACAGAGGGCCTGGGTCCTGTCCTCGGAGAGACCGAGCCATTAGGAAACAAGCCAGTCATATTGCAGAGAAGGAAACCGTGACTCGGGTTCCGTGGCGTCTGGAGGGTTACCCAGGGCTGTCCTCACACAAGCCCAGGAAAGGAGGAAGTGCAGCATCATTATTTTCATTTTACAGAAGAGGAAGCCAGGGAAGAGAGGGGTTGCTCTAGGAAGGGACTCTGGACCTGGTTTTCTTCTCCCCCTGCCGCTGACGTGCTACATGGTCTCGGACAGGTCACTTGACATCTCAGGGCCTCTGTTTCCTCACTGGTAAAATGCAGGGGCTGGGCAGGGTGATGGCTCAAAGCCCTGCTGCCCCAGCAGTCTGCAGCGTCTAAGACTTGCCCAAGGTTGAGGACTCCAAGGCAGAGGTCTTTCCAACGGCTTCACTTCCCCAATTCTCTTGCCCCTGAATGGTACAAACTGAGATGTATGAAGGCAGAAGGGCTAGGGGCAGACCCAGAGCCATGCCACTCCCCTCTGCCTGGCCCTCCACTTCACGCCTCCACAACCTAGGATTCCTCCTGCTCACCGGGCCCTCCAGCCCTCTGGCCTCACTTTCCTCCCATCACAATCTGGTTCCGTGGCTGGCCAGATCCAACAATACTCTGGATTCCTTCAGCACCTTGCCAGTTGGTGCTCTCTCTTTGCCATCTGCCAACCAGGCGTTACCACTGTATGCCTCTCCATGACCGTCCCTGGCCTGCTGAACGCTGCTGGAGGAAGCCACAATCACGCCAACTCAGACCACGGCAGCGCCTCCTCCGTGGGCCTCCTCCACCACCCTCTTCCTCCCCCCTCTCCGCAGAGAAACTAACCTCTTTTACTAGGGGCAGCTCCCTCCCCTCCTCTTGCCAACAGCTCTAAACACTTCTGCATCACCCCCTTCCCACCCCCATCTTCTCCTTTGCTCCAGGCCCTAACAGAGAGATGGCCCCGTGGTGCCAAGGCCTGCTCCTCTCCTCAGGTCCTGATCCTCTCTCCTCCCCTCCTCTTCCTTTGGGAGCATCCACCTTTGATCAGCCCCTCTGTCTCCCTCAGCTTCGACACTCATTATCAAGGAGTCTCCTCCCTGTTGCCTACAAACAGGCCCAGGCCTCACCAATCCTAAAAAAACCTAAGAGTTTTCCACCTTCACTTGGACCCCTCTGGCAGGCTGGCGACGCCTAGGGACTCCTTCTCAGAATCATGTTTTTAAATGCATAAAATAAGATACATAGGAAACTAACCATATCAAATACAGTTATTAAAATATTTTAGAGGCAGTGAGGTAGCACAGTGGATAGAGTACCAGCCCTGGAGTCAGGAGGACTTGAGTTCAAATCTGGCCTCAGACACTGGACACTTATTACTTGTGTGACCCTGGGCAAGTCACTTAACCCCACTGCCTAGCACAACAAAACAAAAACAAAATAAGAGACTTTACAAACAAGAGCCCAGCTTCATAAGGTCCTTGCTCTACAGGAAGCCTTTCCTGACCCCTGCCAATGTCTGCCACACACCCATGTTCCCCTCCCCAACACACACACACTGACCTACTGATTGCATAGTCTCGCACACACTTATTGTGTAAACGTCATCTCCCTGGACAGAATGAGCTCTCTCTGGAAGGCCAACATTGTTTCCTCTTGTCTCTGCGTCCCCAAGGCCTACCACTGGCCTGGCAAACAGCAGGCACTTACTAGATATAGATGTGTCCATACTACGCCCCTCCCTGTGGCGTACTGGCCCCCGAGGGCACACGTTGCCATCTGCTTCGGTCTGTCACACAGTAGCAGGCGTTCAAGATGGCGGAAACGCACCGAATTCTATCTTACCTGTTGTATGTCCAGGCTGGTGATGTCCATATGCACGATCAGGGCCTCCACATTTTCCATCAGCTTTTTATCTTGGAAGTGAATGAGCAAATCCTTCATCACCTGGGCTGTGATTCCCACCAGTTGGTCACTTAAAATGTAAGGCTCCAGGCACTCCAAGAAGACCCCCTTGGCCACGGAATTCTCACTGAACTTGTCATACATCTGGCTAAATAAAAGATCCCTATAACAAAAGGGGAGAAACAATTGCTCTCAGTAGAGTCCCCCAACAGCAGCTCCCTGTATGTGATAAACCCCTCCCACTTTCCTGCCTCAGTATCAGCCCTTCCTACTCTCCTTGGCCTTGGGGATCCCCAAACTACTACCAGATGAGGCCTTTTCCAGATCTGCCCTCCTCCCCGCAAATTACTCTGCATTTATCTTGTCTCCATCCCACATTTACTGACTGTGCATGTTACACTCCTCCAGTAGAATGGAAACCTCTGGAAGGCAGGCACTGCTTTTGTACCGGCAGCTCACTCCAAGGCCTGACACACAGCAGGCATCTGACCTCCCCATCAACGTCAAACCTTCCAAGGAGCTGCTGTCTCAGTTCCGTTCTTGAGTAAGAGTCTGACTCTCCCTGATGAGTGCCTCACGGTGCTGCGCCCATGCAACGTTTGCATAGTCAGCTTCCTCCAGGAAGCCCTCCTGACTCCCCCAGATGATTCACTCTGCCTCTATTTATCAGTGTACTCATTCCTCCTTGAGCACTGAGATTATTTGCCTTTTGTCTTTGTTTTCCCAGAGCCCAGCAGGTACTGGGCCCACTGGAGGTGCTTAATAAATGCTTTTTGAATATGCCTATCTGTGAGCATAAAAGTCCCACTGTTTTGGGACTCAGCCTGTGACCTCATGGGCCTTCCCTTTGCCAATGCAGGCGGGGATCTGCTCGTCAGCTGGCAGCCTTGGGGAGCTGCAGGGGTCCCCCGGTCTGTATGGGTCTAAGGTAGGCCTTGCACACCCTCTCCACTATCCTATGCCGTTCCTCTGAATAAATGAAAGTCGCCATCCTTGGGGGAAAAATCCAGTCGTTTTTCCTGAGACACACCAGGAGGATTTTGGAATTCACTCTTCTTTTGCTTCACACTTAAAGGAGAACTTTCCCTGCTAGTTTATTTTTTAACCAAAATGTTCTCGGCCCATCGGCCCTCAACACACCCTGGGAGGTGAGGCGCCTGAGGGGGCGGGGGCTCTGAGAAAAACCCAAAGGGTAATGAGGGGCCAGGAATTTCAGGGGAGGCTGGACTGGTTCTCTCTGGGGCTGGGAAGCATGCGGCAAAAAAATGAGCTGGGGAAGCTAATGACATCCTTTAGCAGCGAGCATAAAGCCCGCAGGAGGGGACTGAAACAGGAGGCGAGATTCAGAAAACAGAGGAAACAAGGTGGCCTAGAAATTGCCTTTGTGAGAAACAAAAGCCTACTGGGGTGGCAAAGACAAAGAGGGGGCCTGGGCTCCAGCATTAAATGCTACGGCAAATGAGAGAGGGAAGAAAGAGTACAAGTCATTCCCAGGCACCTTTGTCCCTCATTCTCAGTGTGTTGGAAAACACCGAGGGCTAAAAAAGCAGCCACCGCCACCACCACCAACCCCCCCTCTGAGATCCCACTGCCCAAGCCTGGGCCTCTGGCGCCAGGCAGAGCAGACCCGACCACGCACGTCTGCCCTCAGGCTGGCGCACCAGACAATCAGACCCAAACCCTGCGGGCTTTGGCAGAGACTGTCTTTCTGAGGACCTCTGCCCTCTTTGCTAAGCCTCATTCTACTCAATCTCTCTGTCAGAGAGATTTCAACACTCACAAACTCACAAAATTAGGGACTGAGAAGGAAATGGCCAAGTTCAAGCCAAGTGTACGTTACTTCTACACAAATTAGCAAAGCTCTGGAAAGAAGCCATTTGGGCATTGTTCATTAATTAGGCTAGAAGATACTCGTGTACAGAGTCTGAGATTTATCCTGAGGAAGACACAAAGTTCAGAAAAGACACAAGAGAAGCCCTCCTGCAGCTTGCAGTCTAGAAAGGGGTTAAGATATAAAAGAAGAGGGGGCAGCTAGGTGGCACAGTGGATAGAGCACCGGCCCTGAAGTCAGGAGGACCGGAGTTCAAATCCAGCCTCAGACACATAACACTCACAAGCTGTGTGACTCTGGGCAAGTCACGTAACCCCACTTGCCTCACTAAAGAAAAAAAATAAATAAAAAAGATATAAAGGAAGAGAATCACAATACACAAGAGCATTCACTAAGCTCAACAGAGAGGAATCAACACGCTGTGTGAGGTCTCGTGCAAGAGGCAGAATTTTAAGCTGACTTGGAAGAACAAAGAGGAAAAATAAAAACCATCCTGAGGTTTCACCTTGAACCCAACAAATCAGCAAAGATAACAAAAGACAGGATAGTCAATGTTGGAGAGATGTGGGAAGACCACTGGTATACTGTTGGTGGAGCTGTGAATCAGCACAAAAAATGTGGAATATTATGCAAATAAAGTTAGTACAATGTCTGTCCCCTTTGGCCCAGAGATTCCACTTACAGGGCTTATACCCCAAGAAGGCAAGTCCCCACACACCCCAAAATATTTATAGCAGCACTTCTGGGGGCAACAAAGAACCAGAAATAACGCGGATGCCTACTGACTGGATAACGTGATCGTGTGTAAGTAGTGAGCACGAAGAAAACAGAGAAGCTGGGAAAGAGTTGCGTGATCTGATGCTGAGGAAGCAAAAGAGACATTACACACGGTGACTCTAATGACATAAATGGAAAGAATGACCACCACCAAATGACCGAAAGGGAAAGTTACCAGCCAGACCCCAGAGCTGCTTAGGGAAGCACCTGCCCCTCCCCTCCACCGACCCATCCTTGGCAAGAGCAGGAGGTGAACAGGAGAACACTGCACAAGTTTTCTCACTTTTTCAGGATATTGATTGGTTTTTCTCTTCCTACTTTTCTTATTAAAAGATATTCTTTGTTCTATAGGATGGCTCTATGGGAACCAGGGGGGAGAGGGGGGACGGGAGGGAAGGGAGGGACACATGGGACATGTGGGTGATGTTAAAAGATACCAATAAAATTGATTTTTAAAAGATGAGGGGGAATTCACTAGGCCATGAAGGGGAGGAAGGGCATTCCAGGCACTGAAACAGTGTGAGCAAAGGTGTGGAGGTGGGAATGTATGTTCAAAAGACAGGGTGGAGCACAGAGTGCAGAGCTGGAGGGGAGTAAAACGAGATAAGCCTGGAAAGGAGGGTGCTAGGAGGGACCCTGATGAACGCCCATCAAAGGAGCTTCATATTCATGTGGGTAACCAAGGATGAATTTTAGCACAGGAGTGTAACCGACGAGATCTCTGGCTCTACCACTTACATTCACCAAGGAAGCAGAAGTATTCCGGGGCCTGACGCGGCTGCCCTCTTAATACTGAGAAGCACACCTGCTGCTCAGTCGTTTCGCTTGTGTCTGACTCTGCGGGCCCCATGTGGGGTCTTTTTGGGTAGAGATACTGAAATGGTTTGTCATTTCTTCCTCCAGCTTATTTTACAGATAAGGAAACTGAGGCAAACAGGGTGAAGTGACTTGCCCAGCGTCCCACAGCTAGTAAGTAAGGCCAGATCTGAACTCGGGGAGAGGAGTCTTACTGACTCCAGGCCTGGCACTCTATGCAGTCTGGCGCCACCTAGCTGCCCCGAGAAGCATGAACTCATGCCCCCTCCCATTCCTCACACCAACTTCCAAATCCATGCTGGTTTCACAAAAGCCAAAGAGGTTATGCAGGTGTTTCCTTTGCACTTGCAGCAGAAAGGCTCAGGTGAGGATGAAACGGTCAATATGAGGACGAAAAGGGAAACAGGAGAGAGAAGAAACTTATCACCAGCCAAGTTCCAGAGGTCTCCACTCATTAAAATGACTAATTCTGAACCCCGCCCCCCAGGCCACCCATGTTAGGAAGGCAGCGGCAGCAGCCCGGGCTGGGGCCTGGACACCTTCGGTGCAGGCTCGCGTTCGACAGGAGCCTCTGGAATGGGGAGCTCTCATGCAGCAGTGGGCGGTCTGCAGCTGCCTCCGCCTGGCTTCTCTTAGACGCTGTTGTGGGGCAGGGGCTACGTCTATATGTGTCTAGCTTTTAAAAAAACATGCAGAACTGTGTTTACTCATATTGATTATGGGTTAGGTGAACTCGTCTGTGGCTCTGAGCCCAAGGTTCTATATTTAAAAGGCTAAATCATTAAATTCTCTGTAGAAAGCCCTGAGGCATTTTCTCTTCTAAGCTAACAACCCCCAGCCCCTAGTACCCTTAATAGAAATATGTCTTTGTACTGTCCTTTAAAAAAAGAAAAGGAGAAAGGAAAGAAGAGAAAGAAAGAAAGAAAGAAAGAGGAAGGAAGGAAGGAAGGAAGGAAGGAAGGAAGGAAGGAAGGAAGGAAGAAGGAAGGAAGGAAGGAAGGAAGGAAGGGAGGGAGGGAGGAGGAGGGAGGAGGGAGGAAGAAGGAAGAAGAAGGAAAGAGAGAAAGAAAGAAAGAAAGAAAGAAAGGAAGGAAGGAAGGAAGGAAGAAAAAGAGAGAATGAAAGACAGAAAGAGAGAGAAGTGGGAGGAGAAGGAGACTGAACGGAATTTTTGGAACTAGGCAAAATTATGAAAATAAAGAACATGTCTTTAAAACAAAATGTCTCATTACCCTGTCCCAAAGCTGGTTCATGTAAAGAATTTAATTCAAAAGTTTCAATAGATGGGTATCTATGAAGAACTGCTTTTCATGTCCACATGAAAACAAATGTTTTCCTTCCCCTAAGGGGCTCATGATAGAAAGGAGGATTATAGACACATGTGTGTGCACATACACAGGCATGCGCACGCACACACACACAAAATAGATTTTAATATTTTGGCTCTATAGCCAAAAGGAAATGTGTAAGAAGTGAAAAAGAGAAGAGAGAGGTGGATAGTTAAACCCAAGAGGTCTCCTGCTTCGTGTCCAGAATTACCGAAGAGGAGAGCAGATGTACAGCTCTGGGAAGGGCTGGGCAGCTTTGTCCTTCATCCCCCAAGGAGCCCTGCGTTCTTCTGCCCACCAATGGGCCAGAGCCGATGACGGTGGGCAGGGATGGGGTGGGGGCTGAGAACCTTCAGACTGTGCTCACCTATGATGTAAGCTCCCCAGCAGTCTCTGCCTTTTCTCAGATTATCTGCACTCTCTACCTGTTTGCATGTGCCCTCCTGCCTTAGACTGTGAGCTCCTTGAGGGCAGGGACAATTTTTTGCCTTTCTTTGTGCCCTCAGCATTCAGCACACTGCCCAGCATGCAGTAAACGCTTAATAAATACTCACTGACTTACAGACGGTTTAGAAAGTATTATCTGATAAAGGTGAAAAGGAAAACGTGCTCACCGGCCGGCTCGGGGACAGTTACTACACGGCTCAGTCTATGACTTCATGGCATCCTGACGCAGTGCAGGGAAGGCCATTTCAGGTCATTTACAGAGAGAACGTGAAGGAATGGGGCAGGGGGTGTCCTACCATCTGTAGCCAATACTCGAGCTCAAGCCTTCTGCCCTGGGATTCAGAAAGGACTCCGTCCAGGGTTTCCGGCCGGTGAGAACACTCTCCCCCACACCCTTAAATGCCCTTGTGTCTGCTCTATACACATTTTAGATAGACCAATCTGTGTGGGAGCTGTTGCTCAGAGGAGACTGTAAGCCTCTGGGGGGCAGGGACTGGTGCTATAAATAGGTGAAGTCCCAGCCCTGAGCACTGGGCCTGCCACATATGTGGAGGATGCTGCAGGGCACGTAGGAAGGACCACGACCCAGGTGGAGGAAGGTGGAGCCTTCCTAAGCGGCATCCAGCGGACTCGTTCTAATTAGATTCCATGACAAAATGACAGGCTTTGTCCTAGAGGGAGCTGTCAGAAACTGGCTGTTCATGTTCTATTTGTGAAACATCTCCTTGCTGCTCAGCCTCAAGTCTTGTGCCTGTGGGAGGACCAGAACTGTCTGCTGGGCGCTGGGGTGCTTCGGACGCCCCAGAGGAATGACAACTGGGGCTGGGGTTAATCTGCATTAGCTGAAGGGGCAGAAGTGGGGTAAATTCACCAGAACAGAAGCACGCAAGCAGGCAGAGGCCCTTGCAGAGGTGTACGCGGCCATGCTCTTACCCACCTGCGCTGCAGCCGAAGGCAGTAATCGACAACAACTGGCACCGTGTCCTGTGGAGGGACCAGAAAGAAGGTGTTAGACGGCTGCCTCTGCTTAGGAGACAGACACACCGCCAGATCAGGGCGTCTGAGGAAGCTGCCATCGGCCCACAATTGGCCGGGACCTCCCGTGCCAGCGCTCCCACGTGACCACTAAGGGTGGAGGGGGCACCCTGGTGTGGACACACCATCTGGTGCCCCCTGAAGAAGAGGAGCAGCAGCAGTGGCATGCTACCTGATCCTCCAGCCCTGCAGGAAGCTGCTAGGAGGCAGCTGTGGGCAGGACCCTGGTTGGGGGAGGGCATGAAGACCTGAGTTCAAACCCTGCTTCAGAACCTTACCAGCCCCAGAAGGCTAGGCGAGCTGGGTTCCTCTCTAGACCTCAGTTTCCCCAACTGTACAATGAGGCAGGAACACTCCATGGCCCAAGGTCCCTTCTGATGCCGCATCTAGGATGCCACTCTAATGGCCGGCCAACTCTGCTGGCTGCTGAGAGGGAAGGAGAGGCCCTCGGAGCATGCAGGACCTGAGATATGTTAGAACCGAGGCATCCATGGGCATTATGAGCTACAAGGGGTCTGCCAGAAAGGGGTGTGTGCATGTGTATGTATATGTGTGCATACACATGTGGGTACATACATGTGTGTATTGTACACACATGTGTACATGCCCACCCAGAAACACTGCTGGGGTCACAGGATGACTGGTCACCTCTCCTTAGCCAGGGGAGTGTTTGGGATTGCTCCACTCCCCCTATGGTAACTGCCCTGAAAGCCAGCAGAGGGATTCACACTCGGGACACGTGTCTTATCCCAACAGGCATTGTTGTATCCCCATTGTACAGATAAGAAAACTGAGGCTCCTTGAGGTTAAAGGCTTGCTTGCCCCCATCCCATGTTTCTCCTGACTCCACCAGGCTAAACTTCTGTGACCTCCAAGAAGCCTCCAGTCCTGTTGATGCAGGGTGGAGGACCAGCATTCTGAAGCCACTCATCTTCACACTGGGCTTCACTGGCGCTTCCCGAGGTTGGCCAGGGTCCACAGGGAGCCCCAGGGGACGGCTCCCCCTCCAGGCCACTTCTCTCGCTCTGTGCTCTACCACATTCCACAAGTCCCTCCAACCTTCATCCACGTCCCATCCAACCAAGCAAGCATTATTAAACCACCTGCTGGGCTCTAGGAGGCACATCCCCAAGTCTATGCCCTCTGGGAGCTTATGTTCTACCAGGGATGCCTGTTCACAGAGAAGTAAATTCAGGCATGCGCAGTACACTGTGACTGGGAATGGGGGAACGGAACACTAACCACTGGGAGTACAGCAATCAGGAGGGGCCCGTGGAAGGAGGTGGTCCTCCGGCTGAGCCCTGCCGGGATCCAGAGGCTCCCGGAAAGGAGAGCATTCCAGCAGGGGGACACACGAAGTCCATGCAGAGCCACAGATGAGGACATCGAGGTAGCCGGGAAGAGCCCCAAGGCAGTGTGGCTGGACTGCAGAGTACAGCAAGGGGGGGTGTGGGCCACCAGGCCACAGTCCCATCAGGAAGGGCCTTAAACGACACACGGAGGAGTCTATGACTGATCGTTAAAGACAAGAGGACTCAGCAATGCAAGGGTCTAAGACAACTTCAAGAGACTCATGATGGGCAATGCTTCCACATCCAAAGAGCTGCGGAGTCTGAATGCAGGTCAAAGCTGACTATCTGCTCGCTCTCTTTTTTGTCTGTTTCTTCTTTCTTGTGATTTCTCCCATTAGCTGTAATTCTTTACAGCATGACTAATGTGACAATATGTTTAATATGAATGTACATGTATAGCCTGTATCAGATTGCCAGCCTTCTTGGGGAGGGGGAGAAAATTTAGAAATCAAAATCTCATGGAAGTGGGGCAGCTAGGTGGTGCAGTAGATAGAGCTCCAGCCTTGGAGTCAGGAGGACCTGGGTTCAAATCTGGCCTCTGACACTTACTAACTATGTGACCCTGGGCAAGTCACTTAACCCTGCTTGCCTCACCAAAAGGCCAAAAAAAACCCTAAACCTTATGGAAGTGAATGTTGAAAACTAAAAATAAACAAATGAACAAATAAGTGAATGAATGAATGAATAAATAAATAAATAATAAAAGACAAGAAGGAGTCACTGAAGGTTTCTGAGGAGAAGAGTGCCGGCTCACCTCTGCCTGCTAGGAATATCAGGTTAACAGCCAGAGGGAGGATGGATGGGGATGCAGGGAGCCACCTGATTGGGCAGTGAGGGCTGGAATGAGGTTACTCAGAGCACGAGGGAAAGAAGGGGGGGTATAGCAGACGCTGAGGGGGATGGGGGACTGATAACTGGGCGCCATGTGCGGGAAGGCAAAGTCCTGAGAATGGCTGCAGTGGCCTCTGCCCATGTAGGTCACTGAGGAAGAGCGATGACTTTTGGGGGAGAGATGATGGGTTCTGTTTGGATCTGCTGACTCTGGGAGGCCCAGGGACCGTTCCAAGGGCTGGGGTTACAGAGACACCTTGAATCCAAGACCAGGGCTCAGCAAAGGCAGAAGGGCAACTGGACACATAGCTCCGGAGTCATTCCATGGAGTGGTTCACAGAAGCCTTGAAGTCAGCCAGTCCATGAGCACTGATTAAATGCCTGCTATGTGCCAGGCAATGTGCCCAGGGAGAGGGATAGAGAAAAGGGCAAAAACAATCCCTGCCTGGGCATCTAGGTAGCACAGGAGATAGAGCACTGGCCCTGGATTCAGGAGGACCTGAGTTCAAATCCGGCCTCAGACACATAACACTTACTAGCTGTGTGACCTGGGCAAGTCACTTAACCCCATTGCCTACCCCCCCCCCAAAAATACCTGCCCTCAAGAAGCTCACAGTCCAATGTGGGACAGCCAAGTGACAGAGATGGGGAAGAGGGGAGGAGGAACTCCAGGCAAACGGTCGCCATGTTTTCTAATCAGTAGGAGGCCAGGCTCTCAGCTGAGAAGGTGGGGGGATGCAGGTGTTTAAGGAGAGATGAGAATCTCAATGGGAATGCTGCTGAAAGCAGGACAGGGAACGGGTCAGGGAGGAAGACAACGGCCGCCTGGCCTGCAGTGGGGGCCCAGCCTCCATTAGAGGACACGCATTTGCACTGGACTCAGTCGGCCAATTTGGTGATTTTCTCCAGCTCTGTTCAGCAGCACAAAGAGCAGGGCAGGGGGATGCTGGGTATGACATCAGGCTGGGGTTGGTGAGAGTACAACAGGCCAAGGGGTTCAAGGAGAGAGGACAGTATGAAACTGAGCTGGTTCAGCAGGAAGGAGGAAAGTGCGGCCACATGCCGTCTGCTGACCTAAAGGAAAGGACCAGCGATCGTGGGAGCAGCAAGAAGAGGGCCTTTGGGAAAGATGGATGATAAGAGAGGCAGGTCAGATGAAGGAATGTCAGAGCTTGTGGCCAGAGAAGAGTATGACCAGAGCCCTTGTGGGAGCAGGGAATGAGAGGACTGAAGAGCATGTCTGCAGAAGGGGATGGTCACCTGTGTTCAATGCTACAAAGAAGGAGAGAAGACAGGGAACTGAGGAAGGTCCACAACACAGTTCTCCAAAGGATGCTGCCCAACCAGCAGCAACCAGGCTTCATTTCCCTGCCCCCCCCATCTTTGTCTGGTTAGAAAAAGGGAGATGGATTTGATTTTCATGCTTTGACTTGGTTCAATCGCACAGGATTTCCCATTTTCTTGTGTATATTGCAGCATCCATAAACTTTGCTCGGGGCTTAGGGGTAAAGGGTAGAGAAATGCCAGTGTGAGTACACAAGGATGAGGGCAGAGAGAAAGATGTTCCAAATAATAAAACAAACACACTCAGACTCCCACCAGCTCAGGGAAATTTGTTCCAATCCCACCCAGAGGATGGGGATGAGTCTGAATGATCTGGCGCCCACTCCAATCCTAGTTTATGGTAGAGAATTCTACAGGACCCCAAGCTGGCCAATGACAATAGACTTGTGTCTGATGCGCTGTGGTTTTCAGACCTTCCTGCTGCATCGTCATGGAAGCCCTCTGAGACAGGCACGGAAGGCGGTGGGAAAAGTGTTATGAGAGATGAAGAATCCAAGGTTCAGGAAGGTCACAGAGGTCATACAGCTAGAACCTCCCAGACCACCAGCATTCTGAGAAGTTCCTACCATGTGCGAAGCACTAGGCTACAGAAGCACAAAAGAAGCCTCCTCGTTTCTGAAGGACATTGAGTTCTACTGGGAAACAACACACATACATATGAATAAATCCAGAGTACACAAAGCATGTAAAAGCAGAGTAATCTATCAGGGCACCCCAGGCGGGTGGACCAGGAAAGGCTTGTGCCGGAAGGAGGAGGCTTTGGTGCTGCTCTGTGAAGTCTCGAAGAGGCTTTGGGCAGCAGGGCGGGCATCCCGGGCACGAGGCCAGGTGGTACAAAGGCACGTGGCAAGGAAAGGAATCATGTGGATAAGGAACAGTGGCCGGGTCAGTTTGGCTGTGACAGCATAAAGGTGCAATGTGTGATGGACTAGGAAGGGTGGTTTGGAGATGTATTATGAGAGTTTTAAATGCCAAACAGACATTGGTGTTTTATTCTAGGGGCCACGGGGGGCTGTGGGCATGACAGGGTCCAATCTGTCAATCCAGTAGCTGTGTGGAGGGTGGATTGGAGGTGATGGGGGGAGAAGGGAGATGAAGCTGCATGGTGGAGAGAAGGGGAAGGATGCAGGAGATGCCCTGGAGATACCATCAACCGCACCTGCACCTGCCTGGGGAGGGCGGCATGAGGGAGCCTGAAGGGTCAAGGATGACTAAGGCTACGCACCCGGGAGACTGCACGCACGGCAGGAAGGCTTGGACTGTGGAGCAGATTCCATTTTAGACTGGCTGAGTTTGTTCAGGGTTGGCACTCGGAAGAGAGATGCTCCCTCCTACAGATGATGACGGGATCTCCCATGGAGGGGGCAGAGAGAAAGAAAGGTTGGGGGCCCCCGGCCCGCTGTCCACACGCAGTTAGGAAAG